ACATGGGCTAGGTAAAAACAAATCAGCTCAGCACTCAAAAGTTTACTTGGGGAAGGGAGGGGGATGGACTTGAATTTTATACTTCTTGCCTCCATATCAATATAAACTAGTGCTAATTGTAACGGGGACCATTACAGATGTTCCCCAAACGCTCCCCAACTCCCTTTTGATGCCATATTCCCTCTAAGCTTCATTAAAGAAGACAAACGCTATGCATTTGAGACTTTGACAACGTTTACCCAGAAGTGTACCAAGTTCATTCAAATTTTAGCATTGCACGCATGCACATGTGAATGCATGTGTGTAATGACCATGTCATCTTGTCTAAACAATCTAATTAATGTATCAATGTAAAAACTTTGGGCCAGGAAAGATGAAACTTATGCAGAAGCATCCTCAGGTAGTGTACATTCAAGTTTATTAAATTCATGACCCCCGGTGGTAGGGTGGGGCCACAATGGATGACCAACGTTTTAAATAGGAATATATAGGAAAAATCTTCTTAATAACAGCAAAGCCATGATTGGTCATGTTTATATGGAAGCATCCTCAGGTAGTGTAGATTCAAGTTTGTTCAAATCATGACCCCAGGGGGTACAGCCATAAAGGATGATCAAAGTTTTACATAGGAATATATAGGAAAAATATATAAAAATCTTGATTGGTCTTGTTCAAATGTTAGCATCCTCAGGTAGTTTAGATAAAGATTTGTTAAAATCATGACCCCAAGGATTGGGTGGGACCACAAAAGTACATAACTTATTTGGAATAAAGCCACAGTTAGTCAAAAAATATGTAAGCACCCTTAGTGTAGATTCAATTATGCATAGATTCAAGTTTGTTAAAATCACCCCCCCCCCTTTTAGGATCGGGACTTCTTAGGCATTTACTGAATTGATTTTTCATAGCCACAGTGCTCAGGTGAGCGATGTGGCCTATGGGCCCCGTGTTACATGGATGATTTCGATGTCAATTTTTTGTTTTTGTTGCATAATATTTCCATTTTAAGATATGAACTAACCGGATACATGAAGATGACCCTCTGACCATCGTTTGCATAATTTTTGAAATATGTTTGCACTAAATGAATGCAAATCTCATCAAACAACATACAAAAATAAAGTTTCTACTTGTGTGACTAGCCATGTTTTAAATTCATTTGTATTTGATCTAGCTTTGGACACCTTGCAATATTTCTTTCAAATGGTGTAAACTTCAATTTTATGTAAATAACCGTAACTGACTGCGATGCGACTTTTCTTATTTTGATTTATTTTAATGTGCCGCGGCGCCCTCATGGAGCAGTGGTTAGAGCGTCTTCACTAGAGTCACGAAGTAAGGAGCTGATCCTTACGTCGCGGGTTCGAATCCCACTGTGGGATGCAGTAGGTGCTACCTTTGAGCTACCGCGACCGGTTCTTTTTGTTTGGAAAAAACTCTCCAATCTATGACAAGTATCATTCAATAGAATAATTAAAACCTGATTTTCCTATTCAATTGGAAATATCTTTGGTAATGTTTCCATAGTGACGTTATTCATTTTATTTATCTATTTATTTTCATGAGGAATTAAATCATACATTGTAATACTTTCTGAGAAATCTGTGACAAGTGCCTTATCTTTCAATATTATGAATATCGACTACAGAGTATCCCATACTGAAAATGTAACATTGTTTGCTATGTGCTAGAAAAAGTTGATATGGATTAAATGAGTTTAAAAATACTTTCGAAAAACAAACATTTCAACATCATTTTTTTCTTCATGACGTGATTTAGATAAAGATTTACAGGTAACATGAATATGCGTCAAACTTTCTTTGTGTCGTTGCTAGGGTGGTGCTGTTGCTATGGAAGTAAGTCATTGAATAATATTCAATAACTTGATACAACAGTTTAAAGTCTTTCCGAACAATCAACATGCAATTATCAGTTATATATTACTTGAATATCCAATTCCATGACAAACAATACAATCCCAAAGTCAAATCTGTTTTACAGGAGAGATAGGAACTTTGGTTGTCATGTACACGGAATCCTTGCCATATGGGTTGATTAAGTACCAAAAATAATAACAATAATAAAACCAACATTTCATTGTCAATTTTGCTCAACCGGATTTTTCTGACTTATTTTGAATAAGCCTTAATAAGATTACACGAATACACGCCAAAATTACCCCTTTCTTTGCCTTGTTGCTATGGAGAACCTGCCGTTGCTATGGAGATAAAGAATTATACAATATTCAATAATGTGCTAGGGAGACCGAATTTAATTATACTATTCTAAAATTTGTATCTCGTTTATCATAAATAACCGTTCATTTGATTTTTCCGTAAACTTTTTACATTGTTTCTCATTTTATGCATCAAAAAGCCCATTTTTGTTGCTAGGCAACGGATTCGATTTTCAAAAGAGCCCATGGATTTGACTTCAAATTCTAAAAGAGAAATACCTCTGCTTTTATGCGTGATACATGCAACAACTGTATTAATCTGGCCATTTTTAAAATTTGGCCTTGAATATTGCCAAAATCACGAAAAATGCTGAATCAGCAAAACTTGTAAAACATATGTACCTTCCAATGTCTACCACAGAACTGACTTAAGACCTAAATATTCTTTATTACATTATTAGAACACAATAAATGTGTATCTTTATTATACCCCTAAGTAAGAATAATCCTCATGGTATTTACGTGTTATTTTAAGCCTCAAATATAGGTGATTTTTTGTCCTTCAACACTGAAAAATCCGCCCGTTGCTAAGGAAATTTCTTTGGCCGGGTTTCCATGGTTACCATGACTTAAAACATTTTTCATTTTTCATACATTGTTCATACTTCAAAATAAATCTATGAGTGAAAAATCATCAAATTCTGAGAACCGTACTTAAATGTAAAAGAATTTTATTTTCAATATTTTCAATTTACTATGTTGAAAGATAAACTATACTTTATTATTCTATCCTTTCACATGATTTCTCTATGCAGTTTTGTCAATTTTCGGCCCTGTATTTCGACAAAACCAAGGCAAGTATAGAAAATGTGCAAAGTACCTAGAAAAATGCTCATCTGTAAGAAGTCAATTTGAACATTTTAATCAAATAGTATGAAAGAAAATTTCATTAATCAATGTGTAAATACCTTTGATAGAATCATGGGCATTTAACATCATACAATTTATAAACAAATTCCCTTTTAGAAGATTGACTTTTAAAACTTAAGAAAATGATTTTAGAGAATATGCACCTTTAACATGAAAAATCTTATAATAAAAGAGTTATGTCTCGTACTGAAACTCGATATTTTTAAGTAGTTTTATTGCAAGAAAAATGCTACTTTAATTTGTGCGAAAAACCATGTGAGTTTTAAAAGTGCGTTGAGCTGAACAATTTAATAAATCAATCTACAGAACCAGTGTGAAAATCAGACTTGTCGCCACATTGCATAATCGGGTGACTAGTCAAGTTTGTTCATATGGATGGCGTGCTCTAATTCATTGGGGAAAAAAATGAGGAAATTCGGTAGGTTCAATTAAAAATCTTCTTCTTGAGTACCAGTAGGAGAAAAACTTATCTTAAACCTTCTTGACATAGTGTACATGTAGATTCTAAATTTTTCAAATCATAGCCTCATGAGGAAGAGTGCAATGACAATAGAGAATCTGAGTTTAACAAAATACAATTATTGACGGAGTTTGAGGGCAACACCCAAGAACCAAACTATTTGCCTGAAGCCGTTAGGCCAAAGTCAGAAGCTTGGTTTGAGGGTGACAATACATATTTTGCCCGTGAATACAGTCAATAAATGTTTTATTATACCTTTCATTTTAATATTTTTGCATACATGTAATTCGGTCAGTTTACGCTTTATAACCACTTCGCGGGAGGGGTTTTAGGTAAAGTTGGGGTTCAAATGCATGATTCCATTCATTCAGAAAAGTTAGCAAAATTTTTTTCTCTATAAGGGAAAGGACAAAAATGTCATATTGATATTGTAGCATCCCCATGTTAAATGGATTCAAATATAACCTTGGTGAGAATATTTTATTTGGGGCTAGAGGGGTAAATCAGTATTTTTTCTTGTGAATATAGAGATAAAAATGTTGTGTTAAAATTTCAATTCGTAGCCCCCCCCCCTTTCTGCACATTTAGCTGAGGCTAAAATACGGTGTCAATAAAAGTGTTTACAATGAAATACGTTGGGGAAAATCTTCAGAAATATTTTTTACTAGATGTAAGGGAAAGTTTTTAGGATTTTTTATATGGAAGTTATTTTTTAGAAAAAATCTCAAAAGGTATGGTGGGGCCACTAAAGGGAATCAGAGTTTTATATTGGGATATATAGAGAATCATTATGAGACCCACGTTTTATCATAGTATTATACATATGTTACCAAATTATGAATTGTTTTACAATGATGGGCGAAGGGGTAAGATCAGAAATAAAAACAGGGTTACAATTTTGCCTTATTCATGCAGACAGAGAAAGTAAATAACTACTGTAAAATCACATATTTTCATGGGGTCAAATTTTTGTGGTTTGAGGAAAATCTCTTGGTTCGTAGTGATTTGATTTCGTAGATCAAAACGTAATAAGTACTAATATATGTAACATTTTACATTTCGTGTTGGACATGAATTCGTTGGTCTAATCATACCTCGAAAACAACGAAAATTAAGCCCCACGAACATTTATGATTTCACATTTACCGGTATTTCTGTGTGAGAAATGGCGAGGCAAATCTTATCAAATTGATGTTGTGTAAACCCCATGTTGTATTAAACTTGTATCAAGTTTCAAGACCATTTTCTATGGGACTTAGGTAGGGCCTTAATATCTTATTTTTTGTGGAATTATATTGAAACGGCCTTTTTAAAAGTATTCTTGAAAATAACAGGCCCAAGATACTCAGGTGAGCATTGTGGTAAATGGACCTATTAGAATTAATTGACAAGTGTATTATTAAGATTTTAGAATACATTTCTATTTTGATACAGATGCAGAGAATGTGGCATCAAGAGAAAAGGTTAAAATTAATGGAAAAGAAATAAGAGTACAAATGTTGTATTCTCAACTAGGGTTGCCAGAGCAACCAATCAATTGGAAAGACCTGCCATCTATGAGTTATCCTTGTGATAAATACTTTATAAAGTTTGTCAAATATTGTGAGGTGGTAGCCAAGGAAATTGAAAAGACACTGCAGCAGAAGTTTGTAACAGTTGAATGGCCGAAATCAAAATCAGACTTTAATGTCAAGCTACATTGCTCGTTAACTAAAGAAGTGGAAAATGCTAGAGGGATTCTGAAAAAATGGAAAGAAGAAGCTGAAAAAAGCATGGAAGGCTCGGTGGGCAAGTATGTAGTTCAAAAACACTCAATTTTACCAGAAGCATGGGAGAATTTTCTGGACAAGCTAAAAATGCTAGATATATACCATCCGGAAAAAGTGGCTGTTTCATTAGAATCCAAACAACATGTAGCTGTTGTTGTTGGGTTCGAGGAAAATGCAGAGGCCCTGACAAGAAAAATCCTAGATATTGTGAAAACAGAGGAAATGAAAATAAAAATCCAGAAAGAGAAGATTGAGAAAAATGTTCCATTAGATTTTCACAAATGCCAGCAACTTTGGAAAACACAGTATCAGAAGAAGCTCAAGGCAGAATTTCCTGATGTTGATATGAATATTGAGATTGATAAAAAAGAAGTAAACTTCTCTGGGAAATCGAGTGAAGTGAATGAGGCCTTGATAAAAATGCATGAATATCTGATGAATACAAAATCAAAATCTTTAAGCATATCTAAAGGGAGACATGAAGTGTTTAAATCGAAGGAGGTGAGAGATATTTTTCTTGCAGAAATGAAAACAAAGAACAACAAAGCTGTATGGATTGTTACAGAAGACAAAGTGGAAATGACGTCATCAAACATGAAAATGGTGGAAGAGGCCTTGAAACTTTTTGAAGAATTTATACCAGAGAAAGCAATTAAAGTAAAACAGCTAGTGAAAGTTTTGACCAGAGATGAATGGCAGGCTTGTGTCAAGAAGTTAAGAGAAACACACGTTGAAAAATTGTACATCTTGACGTCTTCTTCTGAAGTCCGTGTCACTTCCACAAAGGATATTTTTCAGCCTGTATGTACAGAAGTTGAACAGGTTTTAAAGGAATGTTCCAAAAAATGTTCTGTTGAAGAGCATTTCGAGAATTTCTGGAGAAGTAATAAAAAGAGGAGCAGTGGATCATTTGAGAGCCATGATGCAAGGTCAAAGCCAAAATTTCCTGTCAAGATGGCTGAGTGTGATTTACATATTAGTGGAAAAATGTTAATTGTCATGAAAGGTGATGTTACAAAAATGACAGTTGATGTCATCGTAAATGCAACCAATGGAGGTTTAAATCATTTTGGCGGTCTATTTTTGGCCATTTCTAGAGCAGGCAAGAATTTTTAATTTGAAATACATATAAATTAATTTAATTCTGGTTTTAATGCTGTATTTGATTTGATAAAAAAAATTACTTTATATCCTATAAAATATGTTGCCTACCACTTCGCTTCGCATTTTGTAAAGCGTGAACTGCCCCAACCCAGTTTATACCGTATAAAATGGGTAGCTATTAAATTTATTCCTTAAAAATCAAGATTGTCATGAAAGGTGATGTAACAAAGGTGAGAGTTGATGTCATCGTAAATACAGCAAATGAAGATTTTGATTCCTAAGGGGTTTTAACCTCTAGCAATTTCTAGAGCATTTAAGAGTTTTTATTAATAAAAAAAATTGCACCAAAAGTTTCGACGGTACTGTGTTCACAGAAACAATAATTTCTTCTCTTGAAGTACAGGGTCGTCCTTTCACTGTTTCATGGTAATGATCAATCGCCTTATTAAAATTTGAAATATATTTTTATTTTGCATTTATGTAAAATGGCCCTGATTGCCGAGTGAAGGCAGAAATATAATGCCTTTCATTCGGAATATGTTGATGTTTTTTATGATATTGAAAAATTCGAATGGGACTTAAACTCACAACATATAATCGATCATTGTGTTAAGGTGGTGATTTGATACAGAGAGAATGTGAAGAATACATCAGAATAAATGGAACTGTTCAAAACGGTGACGCCATCCCAGCAAAACCTGGTAATCTCCCTTGTAAGATGTTGATTCACGCAGTTGGACCGCGATGGACAGGTGGAAATTATAATGAAGAGATAAAACTCAGACAAGCCATTTTAAAATGTTTGGAACTAACAGACAGGAATAGTTACTGCTCTATAGCTATCCCTGCACTCAGTGCGGGCATTTTGGGGTATCCCGTGGATCAATCTGTTGACATTATTGTCAGTTCTGTTCAGTTACATTTTAAGTCAAGGGAGGGCAAGGACTCCAAGATAAAGGAGATCTTCTTCTGTGGTGTCGATGATAAGATTGTGACGGCATTCATTAGGTGTTTGAGGAAAAGATTTGGACAGGATGTGAAAGAATTTTATGGAGATAAAGGTTCGTTAGAAACAGAGAGAATTATAGAATTAATCATTTAATTTGTAAAATTAAAAAAAATTATATGAAAGTACATTAAGGCAGAAATATAAATTGATTTATATATTTGTGTATGTAATTCTACATGAAAATTAAAAGTGAAGATACAGATGCCTTTCTGAACAATCAGTTCTTAGAGAGTTCACCAAAGTAAATGAGAATTAAGAATGATAAAAATGTGTTTAAGAGCACTGAAAATAAAGGAGGAGGCACGCTATTTTCAAACTAGAAAAGTAGATTTTAGAAATTGTTATGTTTTCCTCGAGTTATTGTTCAGTTAGTATTGTTCAATTTCATAGAAACCATAAAGGAAAAATATACTTTCTTATAAATCATTAGATATGGATGCTGGTGAACGGAAAATCGGAGAATTGAACGTTGAGGTAAGACAGGGGGACATAACAAAAGAAAATACTGATGCTATTGTCAGCTGTATTTCAGAAAGTCTGGATTTCAGCATAGGTATGTGATTCAATGAATATTAAAGTAATTGCTTTAAAAACACCGTAGTAAGGAATAATATTTTGTGAGCACATGCTATAATTAATGTCTTTAAAATATTATCAAGGTGCTGTTTCTAGGGCTGTTCTTAGAGCAGCGGGAGACAGAATTCTTGCAGAATGTCGAAGAGAGGGTAGGTAGTACATGTATATTTTTAAAATGTTTTCCTAAAGAATTTCAGGTGATTAGATAAATGCTTGTACAATAATCAGCAACTGTAGGAAGAATGATACAAACAAAATATATCTTTGGACCTATTTGGCATACAGAGCGAGAAGTGGTACAAAGGGATAGTCTATTTGACCTTGACTTTTGATCTTCTTTGCAAATATATCGAACTGTTAATTCATAAAACCCTTTAAATTTTGAGAGACAGTTTCGATACCTAGCATATACAGGTACTGTAAATTACGTGTAAATGAGTGCTTGACTACCTGCATGGAAATTGTACTACTTACAATTTTTCTAAAAAAAAATGACGTTTTGATGCTATATAAACACATTATATCGTTAGTCCAAAATGGATGGAATAATCTTTTAGACTGATTATTGCAGTATAGACAGACTCAAATCTTTTATAGGATTGCGGAATAAACAGTGAATAAAATGACAAATTGTAATTGTTACTAATTAAAAGTCATTTTCATAACTCGTTTTATTCCTGAGAATGAGGGAATTGTATATATACCAGTCAACATGTGATGCTTACTCCTCCAAGGCACCTGATTTCACCTCATATTTTTCATACACGTGATTCAAGTTGTAATTTTCAAATAATATTTATAAAAAAAAAAATTCTTCTATCTGTCCTTAAGTCTTTTTCCGATTAATACGCTTTAAACTCAAATTTCTATTTCTTTAAAAAATACATCTTCCAAGTCAGAAAAGGTTAACCTTATGTTGAAGCATCCTCAGCTATTGTAGATAATTTTTTTTTTCTCAAATCAGGTCTTCCGAACATAGGGTGGGACCAAAGTAAGCGATATAATTTTTAACATAGCAATATATTGGGATTTTTTTATTCTCTTTTAAAAAACCTGTACTTTTAGAGTACATTGATTATAAAGTATCCGGTAATTTTTTTTTAATTCACATCCATTTGAAATTGTTTATATTTTCTATATTTTATTTAACTTTAATTTTAATGGCCATTTAAAGGAGAATAAGTAGATTTTAAAACCAAAATAAAAACACATCGCGCAGTGCACTTATGTGGTCCAAATTTCCCTCTATTTATCACAATATCTTATCTTGTCTGTTAAATAAGTATTAATAATAAATGTTGTAAATTTGTATTGTAGCCCGGTCTTTCTCATCAGAAGACTTTGTTGTTACATCAGGAGGCAACATGGATTGTAAGTACATCATTCATGTGAAAGGTCAGTTATCAGCAGAAAGGTTGGAGCGTATGGTGGCTAAGGCATTAGCACATGCTGACAAAACAGGGTGTAGGTCCATATCCTTCCCGGCCCTAGGAACAGGTGAGAATTTTTTTTAAAAAGAAATGACTTATGTTTTTTTTTAGATCCGTATTGTATTGTGCATTAAAAATTGATTGCATGATCGTAGGGGAAATCCAAAGATTTATTCAGCCAAAAAAAATCATATTCCCCGAGAGGAATTTCAAGTTCTTTGACGAATAAATCTTCATCTTTTCCGAACGTTCAATCATGCAATAATTTTTTACTATACCGAAAAAACATAAAAAACATTAACTTTTTAATTCGGCACCACTCTTATGTTCACTTTTAATTTTAATGTAAATTAAAGTTGCTGAAACCCTTTGACACATTACACTCTGATAAAATAATCAGCAATTTTCTGGCGTAACCAGGCTTTGGTGATGTATACTTCTCTCGGGAGTTTCCATTCAACAGATGGTAACTATTGCGGAAAAATACACTAGATATCCGAATACAAACAATATGATTGAAAGCATGCCAACGACAGGGTAATATGAAGTTTAATGACCCCGTCACATGATTATCTAGAACCAATCAGATAACATTTTGCATAGAATAATTATAATAAGGTAAAGTAATGTGAATCATTGTGTTGTGCATCGTTCACCTTAGTTTTACATGATTCATTATAATATTGTGCATCTTTTATTATAGATCAGAGCTTCTATTATATTATTGCTATTGGTTTATAAGCTTCCTAGGCTCTGGTTTATACTTACAAGACAGGATGTAAGTGCATATCCTGCATAAATCTAGGACCATGTGAAGACAACAGAGACTTTAACATTTTGTAGAATATAGGCAAGAACAGAGGTCTTACCGTTGCAATTTAGCTCCTTTGAATTTCTGCAATTTTAATGCAAGAATAAAGCAGAAGAAAAGACTGAATCCAGCCTATCAATAGGCAGCAATATGTTTACCATTTTCTTACTAACCACATGGTGAGATTGATTGATTATTATTGTCGGCAATATTTCAGCCATATTTCGATGATCCACATGATGAGGTGCTTCTGCTATCGGAATGACTTTTGAAATTATTTTTGGTGTATTGTTTTAAAAATTGTGTAAAAAATCATGCATATATAGGTCAACTACTTATGTCTAAATATCTTTTTATTTCCTTTCACTTTGACTGACCTTTGAGCTTTTCATTATTAATCTTAATATTATCTTTTTAAGGATATAATTTACTTGCATGAGATTACAATGTAAGGCTCTCCTTAGCATGTTAGTTTAAATAAGGCTGGAAACATAAAACGCAGATTTTAACTTTCGAAATAGCCAACAAAAATGGTCTTTGGATACCTTAGTTATCACGAAAAAAAAATGGTTTATTTTAGGAGATGGAGATATACTTATTTATTTTTTAGGAGTTGCTGATATTGACCCTGCGGAAATTTCCCAGTGCATGTTTAGAGCCATTAGTAAATACTATCCATTGAACCTACAGAGAGTAAGGATTATAGTTTTCCAGAGCAAAATGTTTCCAGTGTTTAAATCTACACTGCATGCCCTTTCTCAAGTGGAGGTACTGCAAAAAGGTATTGAAAATTTTGAAAAAATATATATATATCTAAGAAAAAGAAATTAGAAAGGAAAGAACCGATGCAAATTAGAAAAATATATTTTTATGTTAAGCAGTGAAAAACATCATTGGTTCATTTTTGAATTTATTAGATTGAATTTTTTGATTATTGTTGTTTACGCCGATTCGGCAATTTTTCATATTTAATATCAACTAATTAAGGTCTTCCGACTTCCTTCGAAAGACCTTATTGTTTTCCTTCTGTTTTTTATTATTAAGGTCTTCCGACTTCCTTCGGAAGACCTTACTGTTTTTCTTATGTTTCCTGTTATTATTAGTTTTCCCTTTTCATAGTACACGAGATATCTCGGAAACTGCTGAACCGATTTCAAAGATTTTTTCAGGAATAATGCATTTTTGTAATATCTCAAGACCTTTTTTTCATTTTTTAAAAAATCACTTCGGGTCGCATTTTTTGTCCGATTTTCATTTTTAAAATCGTCATTTTATCCACGCATTTTCTTTTAAACCACTCAAGACTGAATCACAAAATTTTCTGGTATGGTAAAACATCTCTTTAAGATATGTACTACTCTTTCAATTTGGCATCCGTCACTTCCGGTCGACACAGGAAGTGATGTTTAATTTCAAGATTTTTTGAAAAATTTAATCATCTTGAATAAAGGCAAAAAGAACTTATGTTTACATTCACAATCGTCAACAAAAAGCATCGATTGGAAGTACTTCCGGTTTATACCGGAAGTTGACGAAAAATTTTACTTTCTCTCTTCAATCAAAAGAAATAGAAAAAAAATGGTTTAATATGAGTTTTTTCTGGTCTTTCTGCTTTGATGAAAGCTGGATATGAAGCCCAAATTGTCGAAAGTCGTCAAAAAAGTCACTTCTGGTTAAACAGGAAGTAGTCAAAAAAGCATATTTTGGCCGTTTTTGATATGTTTTTATGTAACATATGTTACTGGAAGCAAAATACTTAATTTTCCTTCCGTCGACGTCACTTCCGGTCAAACCGGAAGTAGCCAAAAAATTTATTTTGAAGGTTTTGATGCAAAATTGAAATTATAAAGTCACTGGAGACTAATATGCTCATTGCTTTCTTTTGTTGACGTAACTTCCGTCACTTCCGGTCAAAATCGGACGGAAGACCTACTCGTTGCTTTGCAACGAGCTTTGCTCTAGTTAAGGTCTTCCGACTTCCTTCGGAAGACCTTACTGTTTTCCTTCTGTTTTTTATTATTAAGGTCTTCCGTCTCCAACGGAAGATCTTCTTGTTATTCTTCGGTTTCTTTTTCCCTATTATTATTATTTTTCTTACCGATTTTGTGCACGCGATTTCTCGTAAACTACTGGGCCGATCCTCATGAAACTTTCACATCTGATAGGTACTGATCTGAACCTTATTGGAAATTTTTTTCGTTGACGTCGTCACTTCCGGTCGTGAGATATGATCAATTTTCTGATTTTAAAATGCAATTTTGTCTTGATTTAGTAGCAAAAACTGCTTCAGATATGAACTGAAGATTAATTGGATATGATAGTTCATGACTTATAGCGTTGCAGAATCGCCTTGCCGTGCGTCGTCAGTACTTCCGGTCGATACCAGAAGCGATTTTATAAATCGCAATTTTTCAACTTTTCTTTTTCAATATTTTTGTTTTAGAATTGAATAGAGACCCTTTTGCAGAAGCCAAATATGTAATTTGTTTGAAAATCGAAAAAGCCAAACTCGAGATATTTGCATTTGAAAACGCGAAGCGGCGATCTCAATGGCTAAATGGTTAGCGCGTTGGATTGTCACGCGGGCGACCCGGGTTCGATCCCCCGTGTGACCAAAAAATTTTATCATTTTTTCTGCTCGATTTTTCGATATTTTGAAATTTTAAACCAATTGGAACAATATATTATTAACTTTTAAGCATATCTTGCGTAATAAGGGGTCACAAGGGGCCAGAATGTCACATCTTTGACGCTTTATATCTCAAAAAGGGGGAATATTTTGATAAGCAATATTGAACAAAAGATGGTCAGAATAATGTTTTAAACAATATGCATACTTTGAATTTTTGTAAAACGACCCCATTAAGGACCTGTAGGCGTGGCTCCTAAATATTTTCATTGAGCATATCTCCACAACGAAAAGAAATCTCTGAATAAGTGTTGAACAAAAAATCTTCAAAACCACAAGACCTTTCATTTGATATCAAGAAAATGGGGCTGACCCCTCAAATTAGGGGCTCATAGGGGCCAAAAGTCTTTTATCTATAACTCTCTAACGATCAATATTTTGTTATACATTACTGAAGCAAAAGTATTTATCTTACCGATTTGCAACGATATATGATAATATTTTAATAATATATTACGTAATATGGGGTCACAAGGGGCCAGAATGTCACATCTTTGACGCTTTATATCTCAAAAAGGGGGAATATTTTGATAAGCAATATTGAACAAAAGATGGTCAGAATAATGTTCTAAACAATATGCATACTTTGAATTTTTGTAAAACGACCCCATTAAGGACTTGTAGGAGTGGCCCCTAAATATTTTCATTGAGCATATCTCCACAACGAAAAGAAATCTCTGAATAAGTGTTGAACAAAAAATCTTCAAAATCACAAGACCTTTCATTTGATATCAAGAAAATGGGGCTGACCCCTCAAATTAGGGGCTCATAGGGGCCAAAAGTCTTTTATCTATAACTCTCTAACGATCAATATTATGTTATACATTAATGAATCAAAAGTATTTATCTTACCAATATCCAACAATATATGATGATATTTTAATAATATATTACGTAATATGGGGTCGCAAGGGGCCAGAATGTCACATCTTTGACGCTTTATATCTCAAAAAGGGGGAATATTTTGATAAACAATATTGAACAAAAGATGGTCAGAATAATGTTCTAATCAATATGCATACTTTGAATTTTTGTAAAACGGCCCCATTAAGGACTTGTAGGAATGGCCCCTAAATATTTTCATTGAGCATATCTCCACAACAAAAAGAAATCTCTGAATAAGTGTTGAACAAAAAATCTTCAATATCACAAGACGTTTCATTTAATATCAAGAAAAAGGGGCTGACCCCTCAAATTAGAGGCTCATAGGGGCCAAAAGCCTTTTATCTATAACTCTCTAATGATCAATATTTTGTTATACATTACTGAAGCAAAAGTATTCATCTTAACGATTTGCAACAATATATGATAATATTTTTATCATATGTTACGTAATTAGGGGTCGCAAGGGACCAAAATGCTATATTTTTATGCTTTATATCTCGAAAACGGGGAGTATTTTCATAAGCCTTATCAAACAAAAGATGTACAGAATATCGTGATAAAAATGAGAAACTTTAACTTTAACTAGGGAAAACTCAATGTCATTCTCTTTAAACAAAAATCTCAGTCAAAATCTCATCTCATCTTATCTAGAAATTCAACGGAAGACCTACTCGTTGCTCGCAACGAGATCTCATCTAGTTATTATTATTATTCTATTTTCATAGTACAGCCGATATCTCAGCTATGCGTGGACAGATTTCAAAGATTTTCTCAGGGAGGACGCATCATGAGAATATCTCCAGACGTGTTTTTCATTTTTTCGAAATTCACTTCCGTTCGCGATTTTGGGGGATTTTTGTATTTTTTAAAAGGCATTTTGTCCAGCAGTTTTCTCGAGAACGGCTAAAGATATGAAAGTGAAACTCATTAAGGTGATAGAACGTCGAACTCCATTATGGGGAACGACCTTTATTTTTCGTCGTCGGCACTTCCGGTCGCACACGGAAGTGAATTCAAAAAGTCACATTTCTCAACTTTTTTGTTTTTCAATATTTTTCTTTAGTATTTACAGGGATTATAGTTTGTATTATGAGAATACTAAATATGTATTTAGTATCTTGATGCGTGCATCTATTGAAAAGATATGACCAAACCAAACTTTGTCCACTGTCGGGGGTTCGAATCCCGGTGTGGGCGTTTAAATTTTTTTTCTTTTTTTCTGTCTTTTTTCAGTTGCAAATAACTTTTTTCTCTTTTTTAATATGTACGGAAGATTTTGCCGATTTTTAAAAGATATTTTTGAGATATTTTGAGGAATACCTGTAATAATTAGGAGATATGTTAAGAGGCTGCTGTAAATGAACGTAAACGAAAAAAAATACATTCTGAAATTTTATGGGATGACGCAGCATAGAATTCTAACAAAAATCGGTCGGAAGACCTGCTTGTTGCACCAGCAACAAGAACGCATCTAGTTAAGGTCTTCCGACTTCCTTTGGAAGACCTTATTGTTTTCCTTCTGTTTTTTATTATTATTATTATTCTTTTTTCATAGTACAGCCGATATCTCAGCTATGCGTGGACAGATTTCACAGATTTTCACAGGGAAGATGCAACATGAGAATATCTCCAGACGTGTTTTTCATTTTTTCAAAATTCACTTCCGTTCGCGATTTTTGGGGATTTTTGTATTTTTTAAAAGGCATTTTGTCCAGCAGTTTTCTCGAGAACGGCTAAAGATATGAAAGTGAAACTCACTGAGGTAATAGAACATCGAACTCCATTATGGGCAACGACCTTTATTTTTCGTCGTCTGCACTTCCGGTCGTAAACGGAAGTGAATTCAAAAAGTCACATTTCTCAACTTTTTTGTTTTTCAATATTTTTCTTTAGTATTTACAGGGTTTATAGTGTGTTTTATGAGAATTCTAAATATGTGTTTAGTATCTTGATACGTACATATATTGAAAAGATATGACCAAACCAAACTTTGTCCCACTGTCAGGGGTTCGAATCCCGCTGTGGGCGTTGAAATTTTTTTCTTTGTTTCTGTCTTTTTTCAGTTGCAAATAACTTTTCTCTCTTTTTTAACATGTATGGACTATTTTGCCGATTTTTAAAAGCTATTTTTGAGATATTTTGAGGAATACATGTAATAATCATGAGATATGTTAAGATGTGCTGTTAATGAACGTAGACGATAAAAAAATACATTCTGAAATTTTATGAGATGACGCAGCATAGAATTCTAACGAAAATCGGTCGGAAGACCTGCTTGTTGCACCAGCAACAAGAACGCATCTAGTTATTATTATTATTCTATTTTCATAGTACAGCCGATGTCTCAGCTATGAGTGGACAGATTTCAAAGATTTTCTCAGGGAAGATGCATCATGAAAATATCTCCAGACGTGTTTTTCATTTTTTCAAAATTTACTTCCGTTTGCGATTTTTGGGGATTTTCGTTTTTTTTAAAGGCATTTTGTCCAGCAGTTTTCTCGAGAACGTTTAAAGATATGAAAGTGAAACTCACTGAGGTGATAGAACATTGAACTGCGTTATGGGCAATGACCTTTATTTTTCGTCGTTGGCACTTCCGGTAGCAAACGGATGTGAATTCAAAAAGTCACATTTTTCAACTTTTTTGTTTTTCAATATTTTTCTTTAGGATTTACAGAGTTTATAGTGTGTTTAATGAGAATTCTAAATATGTGTTCAGTATCTTGATGCGTGCATCTATTGAAAAGATATGACCGAACCAAACTTTGTCCTACTGTCGGGGGTTCGAATCCCGCTGGGGCCGTTTCAAAAATTTTTTCTTGGTTTATGTCTTTTTTCAGTTGCAAATGACTTTAATCTCTTTTATAACACTTATGGAAGATTTTGCCGATTTTTAAATTCTGTTTTTGAGATATTTTGAGTAATACTTGTAATAATCATAAGGTATCTTTAGAGGCTGCTGTAAATGAACGTAAACAAAAAAAAACACATTCTGAAATCTATTTCATGGGATGACGCAGCATAGAATTCTAACAAAAATCGGTCGGAAGACCTGCTTGTTGCACCAGCAACAAGAACGCATCTTGTATATTCATATATTCTTAAATGTATCGGAAAATTTAATGTCAATTGAATGATATTATGAATGATTAATATGATTTTTATTAAGTTGATATGGGATTTGATGATAAAGATGAAACGATCAGATGCTATCCATATCCTGATAAGAATCTTTTCCATGGAAATATGATGAACAGAGGTCAAACATATCGACAAAGAGAGAGGGATGGAACATTTATGGTTCCTAGTCATTTAAACTATAAGGAAAGCAGTGATTTTGATAGGAAGTCAAAGAATGAATATGAATGGAAGGAGATTGATACATCAAAATGCATGTTAAGAGATAACCAGGTAAGATAAGATTATGAGTGTAACCAAATAAAAGACATTTTACTCATTGAAATTGATACTTGCAATTAAGTAAGGAACCCTGGACCCCTGCATCTTTAGTCAGGTGCTCTACTAGCTGAACTATCTAGGCCAATACCCACGGCCGAATCCATTACAAAACATATCATATATTTTGAACTCCATGCAATGGAGAAAGTTGTTCATCACGTCGAAGACAATGTCAAAAACAAGACAAAGATTTATTTCTGAAAAGGAAAATCAGGAAAAAAATAGTTTTGTTCTCTCTTCCCAGTTCTCTAGCATGGGGATGTGATGTTCGAATTGTAAATTTCACAGTAAATTCTGCAAATCCCATACCGCTATCACTATTGATTCCAAAAGTAAGCATAAAAGTCTTGTGTCCTTTTTCTCAAGATGTCCTTTCGTCAATATATACATGGTTTTCAGACTCTCTACAAGGGAACTACACATAATTGAAAACGTGTAACACAAAAGAGTGGTCAGTTCATTTGGCAAAATCTATTTCTGCTCATGTGCAATTTTTCAGCAGATAGAGTCATTAAAACAGATTTTCTGAGAATTTATACAAAGTCGGTTATCGTAATCTCTAGAAGTTGATCAGTAAGAAAACTACAAATCTTTACGTAGGCATAATTAAAGTGTTTGCCCTAGAGTTGCCGAGTAAGGAGTTGATCATTAGGTCACTGGTTCGAATTTCACTGTAAGGTGGGTAAGGTAACTGGAATTTTAATAATAAATAAGATAGTATTTTTCCCTATGGAGTTTAAATCTTAATTTGCAGATTGATGAAATTAAAAGGCTCGCAAAAGACACCAAACTCATCGTCAAATATGGAAAAATAGAACTGCTGGGTTTAGCAGCAAATGTAAATGAAGCAGCTGTTTCTATTTATAAGTATTTACATGAGGTCAAGGACAAAGAGAGTGCTAAAAGAGTCCAGGAGTACGTGAAATGGCAGTATGAAGCCTGGTCAGATAAATGGATAACGTATAGGGAAGATGTCAATTTACAGATTGAGAATGCCCACCAGGCCAGAATGGATTCTATTATTGTAAAAGATAACAGAGGAACTGAATATGTTATTGACTTCAAAAAGATGGAGGAGCGTGTTTTTTAAAGTGAGAAAAACAATTATAGGAAAAAGTACAAGATACAACGGGCAGAAAAAGGTAAGAAATATCCCCGAAGAAGGCAATCTAAAAGTCCCATTTTTCTTTCTAAGTTACTCCATAGAGTTTAATTATGTTACGAGTAGTGCTAGGGTTAATTCCGCCGAGAAAAAACGTACCTATTGCACACTAACAAATCAAGGTAGTTATAATTAGGGCTACAGTCAATTTGAAATAGGGCACAGACATAATTTCCCTTTACTTGTTACAAAGGGAATTATTCTTTTCTTGCCAAGAGCATATGTACATCAATATCTATAACTTATCTGCATTAAAGAACCTCATGTGGTAATGGCTAATATATGCTTCCAAAATCAAAATTTGACAGAGGAATACATACATGTAATTATGTTTTCAAATAGGGGGATATCTACAGACTTCAAAGCACTAAATATTTTCATAAGCCATGAAGTTATATGTTTAATATGACGTCAGGAAAATGACTTAAGTTGAAAATTTCCTTGATTTCTACAGAAAATGGTTATATTACGTCAATATTTTGCGCAAAAAGACCGAGCGCAGGTCTGCTAAAGTTCAATAGTTTGATATAATGTGTAGAGTTATAATATCAATGTAATATATAAATATTGTACTTGGGCAGACCTGCACTCTATAAATTTTATAGTAAGAATTTTGTATATTTTTGCTTTTCCGGAAGTTTTATACTAAATTCGAATAGTTTATGATGTCATAAAACCAGAAACTGTCAGTGACCTTCTTTGAAACTATACTATTTTCTGTAATGATTTTTCAAACTATATAAACAATTTAGCACTTTTCAAGTAATTTTTAAAATCTGACTTTTCTGGAGACATAAATATGCAATATACCGCATATAGTTCTTTTTGTAATTTCCACTGACTGCCTGCAATTTTTCCTGAACTTTTGAATACCCCATGTGATAACATATTCTATGCGTATACAAAAATTTCCTCCGCCTTGGTTTTTCTTCCAGGAAAGAAAACTGATGTTAATTAGTTTAAGTGAGAAAATTGGAAAAGAATTTGGTAACAGTGTCGAATCCAGCAACGCAAATTCCCTTTGTAAGGCAATACACACTCAATGTATTTATATGTTTATCGTTATTGTATCAGAATCGCAATCCCTCTGCCCTAGGAGACAATATGGTGTCAACTTGGGAGAGAGTTTTTCGTAACACATTTGAGTACTAGTAACTTTTTCTCTTTTATGTCGGGAAAGATTTAAGGACAGTGGCAACGACATCAAGACACCTTCTTCTGGAATTTGATAAGCAGGAATAAAATAATTAGAACACAGTAGGAGAAAACAATCTACAAAGTCTGATGTATGTTTAGGGAGTAGATATACGAGGTTTGATGTATTTTGTTCTTTAGATGACCAACACTCGAGAGAGTCGGACAGAACCTGATGAAGTCAAAAAAGGTTATGATAATCCAGATTTGAACAATGCTTCATATGACGATATTGTTGAATTCTTAAGCATGGAAATTTTCGGAGTTTGATAATTCTGTTGTGGGTTCTGTGTATGCAGAAGTTAATGGTTCATGTGCAGTAGAGTGGAGGGAATTTAAACGGAAGTTGACTTAAAATAAATGAAAAGATTTTGTAAATGGTTTTTTTAATATAATAGAGGAGATTTCAAATCAAACATGTGAAATCACTTTATCCTTTTATGAACATCTACCAAACAGTAATCTTTGTCCATGGATACTGTAGATCCTTATTTTTCGCGAGTACGTATCGCCAATGGGCTCTTCAACGTCAGAGGGTTGTTCAAGAGATTTCACATAGATTTCGGCACCATAAAAATAAAGGCGAATAATTTTATTCCATGTGGTGCTTCTCGCGAAATTATGCGATAATTAACACCACGCATATATTTAGAAATCTACAATACGTACATTTTGAACACATTAACTAATGTGGATGAGGTAATCCAGCGTAAATGTACAGTACCTACTTATAAAGAATCAGATAATGAGACGTATAAAGTAACTATTCAGATTTTGAAAAAAGAACAACAGGAGGTAATGTTAATCGAAAAAAATCTTATCGGGCCCGCTTTGTATATTCTCTTTATAAGTATACTGAAAGGATTAAGAAACGCACAAGAACATGATATGGGAAAATTTTCTGACTATGTGACCGAAAAATATGAAAATTGGTCAGATGTTTATTTTGGTTACTTTGCACTAAAATCACTAGTCAAAACTACTCAACCATGAAATGTATGGCATCACGTAGGGGAAATGATAAAAAGTCAAAAACACGTGCATGTTAATGATGATAATTTTGTTATAAAATTTTGTAGTACCATACTATGCATTAGAGTTATAGACATCGTTTTTGCATATTTGCAGTCAGTATAAATTTCTTGCAATCGTGGTATGGCTGACGGAATCTACTGTGGGTTTAGAAATTGAATTCAATATTGCACAAGTGAATAAAAAGGCAAAAACATACTGATGTTCAGATTGTTTTCAACTTTTCAACCAAGTAAAAGTGTTTTTTGGTTGTCAGAGAGTGAACTTAAAATGTTTCCAATCAACCATGACGGTGACGTTGGCGCGTACCAACGTCACAACAAAATAGGGCTTTTCGTCACGCCACCTCGGTTATTGTCAAGGCATTATCACCAAAACTGATATTTATACAGCAGACAAACATACTCACTTTTTTCACCCTAAACTGACAGAAACTCTCCACTCTAATTTAGGCCGCGAGCTTGGCCTGCCTACGTCGATTTTACTCTCAAACGCACACGTACGCGTCGTTTGCGTAATGTTTTTTAGCATGTTTACACTGGAAAATGTAGCTAATATTTGTCGATATTTTTTTTTACAAACATTCACAAGTACTTAACCTGCTGGGTTCTGTATATTCTTTCTTTAATCGAAAATTCGCGAGATTCGATTGAGCAGGGGGATTGGTTGACTTTGGAATAGTACAGCTAATCTCAGCCATCAAGACTACCGTCGAAAGGGTTGAATAATAATGCTTTGAAAAAATAAATGCTCTGGTGAACGCAATGCACAGAAAAATCAAGTTTGTTACTGATGCGAAAGGGAGATTATGAGAATTTTTAGTTTTATTTTTGGGGGGTGTCACCATATTGATATCAATATCTCAGGAACTATCAATCAAAATCGCACAAAATTTTGGTAACTTGTTGATAAAAGATGAATTAAAATGTATGATAAAAATGCTGGAAAACATATTCGAAATATTGTTTTAATTTAACTCAAAAGTTAAATATGCGTTTCTTAATCCTTTCAGTATATATTCTCTCAATAATAAGAAGATAGATATTTTGCGGGGGTTTACAAAAGCGCAACTAGTGAAAACCTTTGCAGAAAGAAAACTTTACGCTAATTCTATGAGAAAAAGAAATAATTCAGTTGGTACCCCATAGCAGAAAGAAGAATATTTATTAATCATCTATTGCAAAGAAATTTTTATTTATATGTACTTGAATGGCTGGTTTCTGAATATGAAGATTGAATGACATTAATGCATCAACTACAGAGAACTATGTTACTGCTTTTGGTTTCAGGACTCATATTAAATCAATTCTACAACCAACTCAACAGATATCTATCTTGGGACACTCTTTCTCTTCCAGCATATATTGATATAGTCAAGTCAACTCAAGTCTGGAACCTTTCCACAGCTTTTGTAAAGTAATTTCTACCATGGGCAAGGATTCCTCTATCCTAGCATATTCATTACGCAAAACCCTTGGATTTGGCAGTCTGTATGGGCTTGCATGGTACCCTTTGCGAGACTCCAGATGCATTTAATTCAATTTTGCCTTTTGCCCCAGTGGTTTCCACATTTGGAAACCTTATTCAAGTCAATCGACTAAATCATTTCACATCTACTTTGGCCAAATGGAGAGAGCAAGGGAACTTTTTTGCAGGAACATCTATCTTGAGTTTCGAGGTCGCTCGAACATTATAGAGAGATGACTCATCTTACGATTGGGGAGCCCACCATACACATAGCAATTTGTCCGACATATTGTCAGTGATGAAATTGTAACAAGAAAGGAGAAAATATATGGCTGGACCGGGAATCCAACCCTGGACATTTCATCTCCAGTCGGGTGCTCTACCAACTGAGCTATCCAGGCCGATATACACGGCCCAAATCATTACAAAATAAATATATATTTTGAACTCAGTGCAATGGAGAAAGTTGTTCATCACTTCGAAGACAATGGTAAAAAACAAACGTTTCCTTTTGAGGACAGACAAATTCAACAATGGTTTACTACCTCAATGCATTCATTAAACCTGTGCATGTTGATATGGAGGATTCTGCATTTGTGTCTTCTTTTTAATATAAAAATTCTGGCAGCAGTGGCGGATCCAGAGGGGGTTACTGGGTTGCAACACCCCCACCCACCCAACTCCACCCCCAGAAGATTTGCAAAAAAGAAAGAGTAAACAAAGAAAGTCCCAAATTTTTGTTGTGTTTTACTATACAAAATGTTCAGTGAAAGGGTAAGGCTGTAATTTATTAAGAAATTCGGTTGTGAAAGCAAAAAGAAACCAATCCCCTTTACAAAATAGGATTTTCGAGTTTTAGAGATTTATTTTCCTTTCTTTTTCAAACACGTTCAGATAATCCAAGATCAGTCAAGTATTTTTTTTTTCAGATTGATCAACCTCCAACTATCAAAAACCACGCTGTATGCTACTAAATTTTCTAAGTACCTGTACGTGCAAAACGTACGTTATAATAACTCTCTTCCTCTTCTCCCCCCCCCCCTGTGAAAATTCAAGATTCGCGTCTGGGCAGAAAACCTTTCCAAGGAAAGAAATGTGATAACGGACGATTTGTCCGAAAGACGACAAAGTCCAAAATGACAAAATGTAGTCTCAGTTAGGAAGTTTTCAACAGATTTTCTAGATTTTCTTTTCCCCAGACATAGATCTATTTCTGAAAAGGAAAATCAGGGAAAAAAAATATTTGTTCTCTCTTCCCAGTTCTCTAGCATAGGGATGTGATGCTGGAATTGTAAATTTGATAGTAAGTTCAGCAAATTCCATACCGCTAACACTATTGATTCCAAAAGTAAGCATAAAAGTCTAGTTCCTTTTTCTCGAGGTTTTCAGACTCTCTGCACGGGAACTACGCATAATCAGAAACTTGTTAACACAAAAGAGGGGTCAGTTCATTTAGCAAAATCTATTTCTGCTCATGTGAAATTTTTCAAAAGATTTTCTGAGATTTTATGCTACTTCGTTTATCTTAATCTCCCGAAGATGATTAATAAGATAAACTAAGGCGCTAGACTACAAGTCTTTACGTCGCCATGATTAAAGTGTTTGCTCTAGAGTTTTCAAGTAAGGAGTTGATCATTAGGTCGCTGGTACAAATTCCACTGTGGGACGTGATTAGACATGCTACGAAGCGTACTGTTCAAAGAAGAAATGATTTTTCTGAGTCTTATATTACTTACCATGCGAGTTATTTTTTCTAACAACAATAACCTATTTGATACAAATGGTCAATCCTAGAAATAAAATGGGTGGAAAAGGATATCCTATCCCGGAATTAGTATGGTAACCATCATAACCCGACTTCTCTATCTTGGATGTGTCGTTTATCCAAAGTGGATTTATTCAGGGTCCCTTTTCTTTATCATACCTGATATATCAAAAGTGTTAAATAATTATGTTTTAGGGATTCATAATTATTTATTGTTAAGATGTTCATTTATTTTTGTACTTGTAACTTGGCAATCTTCAATTACAAATTACTGAGTATGTAACTAAAGACACATCTCATTTCAAGCTTACTTTTACTGGGCACGAGAATGAACATCATTTTTTAACATCTTCCTAAAACTATCAATCCAATTAATGATTGAACATCTTGTAAGCCTTGTTTTAACCTTTACAAATTATTATACGCAAAGGAATTTCTAAGATATATCATAAATTTTACAGTCGTTCGCTGAACGAGTACGACTGAGTCAACTATTTTTTGTCACAAGCGATTTACACATTGAAAACATTTTCACATTGCTCATACATGAACTGATATATTACTAAACATCTGATAGTTTAAAAACATGTTTATGACTATATACATGCATGTGTGCAGAATTTCATTGTAGTCTGAATTGTTTTGTAAATACGTGTATAGAGATACTTTGCGAACGTTTTATGATCAATCCTGGTATTGCGAGTTGTATGGAAATTGTGTGAGTACCCCATGAATTAAAAGATTCTAATTTCAAATAAGTTTCTACATGCACCAACAATAACGTCAAGAGAGAGAGAGAGAGAGAGAGAGAGAGAGAGAGAGAGAGAGAGTGAAATCCAAACACTATTGGAGAGACATTTCGAAAGGAATGGAATCCAACTTTTAACAAACAGACAACTATTGTCCAAATCTCAACAGTTATGAGAACATGGAAACATACCATCATACCAGCGTTTAACACAGACACCAGGGACTTGCTCTTGTGCAATTGCATCATTTTTTTTTAAATTGGGTCCTAGTTGTATAGGTCTTCTAAAGCAGAAGTTATGCTTGTACAAACAGAGTATATAACCAAAGTGTGTCTCATATGTTAGGTAAGCAGTTCGGAGAAAATGCACAAGTAAATGCAGATTAAGTACAGATATTTAAATATTGATTGTACAATTTTAAACCTCCATATATATAAAGTTCATGAAGATCAACTTTACATTTTTTTAATCGCGTTAAAAACATTTGTCAAGATATAATAAGAAGAAATAATATCTCCAGTATTAATGTGAAACCTAAGAAACACTGTAGAAATGGAATGTCAATAACCCTATACGAAAACAATTATTTAAAAAAAAATTCTAATGGTGAGAAAAATAATACCAATCAATAAAAGAATAATTTGATGTTATAAATTATTTCAAGGTTTTCCTGTTGAGCTGCCAACAACATGGACATGCATGACAAATAATCATACTGTACTTGAGATTACCTTGAACCATTGGGACAATGAGTACCACGATGTCATGTCAAAGTTCATGGTCTCCAGTAAGAGAACAGTGTCAATTTCAGAGGTATAGGACATAATATTCTTTACATTATCACGCTAAAAAATCCTATCCTACAATTTTTCTCTGGTTAATCTGTAAACCAGAAGAAAAAAAACGGCAGTAGATTTAAAGAAAAAATACAAAATCAGTTATTTGTTGAAATAAAAAGAAAGCATCAAGACAGTAATTGAAAAATAAAACCAAGAAAAAGTATATAGAAATAAAAATCAGTGTATCAATATATATTTTGTTTGTGAAAAAATATATATATAAGATCTTTTCAATCATCCTGAAATTATACTGACTGGTATATTAAGGTCGCTTTTTGCATTGCTTTTATTATTAATTCTTTGTGCTTCATGTGAGATTTATCATATAACTGAACTTTCTCGAGAATTGTATACTGAAATCAATTTTTTACTAAGCACAAATATGCAAATTAGGTCTATGATCCTTTCACATTTTTTAAAATCTTAAGAAACGGAAAAGATTAAGATAACGAGCAGGGGGTCGATCTAAAATTCTATAAATTATACAGTTCTTTGTAGTCGGAAATTCCAGAAGTGGGATCAGAAGCTTAGGAGTAATTAGCATCCCCTGTCAGCCATTACACTCGCCGTATGTTCTATATATTGTTCAGGTAGATAGAAAAATCCGTAGTCAAATTCAGTATAGAAACAAAGGCCTAATAATTATACAAACCAAAATACTAAAGATGCCATATCAACCAAATTAGAATTTATGAAATATTAATGTTTTCTTCTTTTTACAAGGTTGTTGAAAAAAGGGTATTCTGTTATAAATTGATATTTGAAATTGTAAACAAAACAGCATTCAATGTTTAAACCCCTTTAAGGTGAAAAATCACTCTGCTCCTAAGTTCACCATCTTTTTTTTTAAATCAACATATTGATTTTTATCAATAACAATAGACAAAGGTTCAAATGGTAAATAGTTTGAAGTACGAAGCGTTGCTTACTTTTTCAGAAATTAAAAATATGTCTAATATTTAATCATGATGTGAAGAAAATTTGATATGGTAATTAGAAATATCAATATTTTTTTTTATCTCACAATAAAATCTAAAATATGAGGTATTTACGAAAATAATGTTTAATGTCATACCTATCGAATTCTGATTAGAAAATACAATGTATAATGAAGCGTTTTTTTTTTAATCAGAATATCAAATTGTTTACTGTGCTTGTAAAAATATATGCATCTATCAACAAGAGTTATTTTTCCATTTTCGCCCATGAAAAAGTTCTAGTGAAACAAAATATTAATTAAAAGTTTATAAACAATTCTGCATCTGAAATTTCTAAAACAATTAAATGACTTTTACGTTAAGAGATAGATATATCTCAAATTTCACAGTTTAAAGGAACTTAATATAAATGATTTAGGTAAACTATTATAGATAATTAATAAACATATTGGCAATAGAAACTAAAAATCGACATCTTAGGTTAGATTTTCTTGAGTTGACTATAAAAATGGTCCTCATTTAAGAACTCTGTACATTCGGACAAGATAATACATTGAACTTCATGGAAAATTTTCGTCAGTAAATTATAATGTATCTCTTTTAGCAGAGGGATGTTACACCATAAATTTCAATTCATATTGGCTTGAGACTTATCTATTTTATGTATCGTAATTTGATTGTTGTTTGCATGACTTATCAAAGATACTTTTTTGATAATCAATATTTTCTCACAGAAAATCTTTTTTCAAATTAAAAAATATGTTTTCTTGCGTCATATTTGTATACTTATATGTAGATACGCAGAGTGCAGAACCCATATCTATATCAGCAATATGTTACAAAACGGAAGGAAATCGAAGTAAAGAATGGAAAAGATCCTCAGAAATGGTTGTGGCATGGGACCTACCCAGACACTCTAGATAAAATTATCAACAATGGATTTAATAGGGGATATTGTGGCAGGAATGGTATGTACAAGTTGTTATCCTAAAAACTGCAAAACGTATACAATATGCATGTGTTTCTAGCACAAATATAAACCAAAAAACTTATGTTTTGCCTGATTTCGATTGTTTTTTCATTCGTTTTATGGAAGTTAACATAATTATCAGTTACTGTATATGTAGTATATTACTGTTGCATTGTTTTTCCTTCCAATATAATTGATGTTAACATACACTTACTAGGATTATTGTAGCTTAATTGAGACAATTTTTTAAGTCGTTATAGACAAATAAGCAAACACCAGTGGGTCTCGGGCGGCTTAATATGTAGCATCACATACTAGTCTGATATTTTCCATTCCCTTTATGGAAGTTAACATAATTATCAGAATGTGTAGTATGTTACTGTAGTGTTGTTTTCTGCCAAATATAATCTATGTTAACATACATATTGGTACATTTAAATGATTTAATAGGGCTATTGAATTGTATAGAATCCTAAAGGTAGCCCACTGGTATTTGAGACAAAATTCTTTTTTCTAGTCGGTATAGACCAATAAGTTAAGACTAGAGGGTCTCAGACGGCTTGATAGGTAGCCTCACATACTTGTCTGATTTTCTCTCTTTTTATTGGTGTTTAAGTACGCATGCAGGAAGCATTTTGTGCTTTAAGTAAGAATGCTGTGTATGAGGTGTGTATATGCAATATACTTAGATACTTATTATCTTACCTTAATAGCAAGTATTACATTTAAGCATAATTTTTGTAAACTTTTGGGGTTTAAACGATATTAAAAAAGAAAAGAAAAGAAGTTTTATATAGCTATCTTAGATATTTACAGTCCTCAATATATTGTCTTCAAGATGCATGTACCCATTGTACAGAGAATGAAAAAAGCTCAGTTTATGCTCAGTGGGGCCATTATATTATGAGGATTGCAGGAAAAACATATGCTAGATGAAGATTAACTCTTATGAATAATAATATAGAAGTTAATATTTCTACAGTAAAGCCTGACATTATTGGAAATTTCCTTATTACTAATATGATGGTGGATAATAGATATATAATATTACTTTTGTTAATTTATATTGCCCAAACAGAGATGATCCTCAGTTCTACAGAGAGATTGGTAATATAATCGAGGAATATGGTATTGAATTTTTATTATGTGTGGAGACTGGAATTTAGTTCAAAATTTTCAATTAGACTGCCATATTTATGTTAAGGAAAATAATCCTAAAAATAGGGTAGAAATACAAAACCTAAAAATATAAATTTAATCTTTTGGACCCTTGGAGAATAAAATACCCAAAATTAAAAAAAACACTTGGAGCCGTAGAAATACGAATAAACATGCAAGGCTATACTTTTTTCTTATATCTGAAGTATTATTGTCAATTTTGGAAAATGTTAAGATCATTCCAGGGTACAGAACCGACCATTCAATAATTATTGAATTTAAAATTAATGATTTCAACGGGGTTAAGGTTTTTTTTTTTAGATTTTATTATTATCTATTAAGGAACACAGAATATAGTTTGTTAACGATTCAGTAGCAGAATACACAATGCCCCCATATACTCCAGGACCTGATGCTGGATTACATATTCTCAAGGATTTATTTTTGGATGTACTGTTAATGAAAATAAGAAGTCTAACTATTTATTATTCATCTCATAAAGCAAAGGAAAGAAAAAATAAGAAAAAAAATCTCAACACGCAAATAACATACGAGGGCTGTTCAAAAAAAAAATTGTCCTGAACTGTATGACATACAACGCTACAGCAACGTTAGTAAAAGTATAACGATATAGGGCAGCACGAAATTCAAATATTGAGTATATTTTTATTTTATCAAATTTATCATACCGCGCTAACGCGCGGTATTCAATTTGTCGGCACGGCCAGGTGTATTATAGGACCGAAGACAGCCAAAAATATGAATTCAATGCTTAATTAAACAACCCTCGTATGTCCAACACAGTTGACATATGTCCAACACAGTTTCTCCCAGGGAAAAGATAAAGGAAATTGATACAATTTTTAATGATTACATAAGGAATTATAAAACTCCAAGAGTGGCAAAAAAGAATATTATACAAAGTTATGAAAAAGGAGGTTTAAGAATTATGTGTCTTGATCCTTTTGGTAAAAGCCTAAATATTACATGGAGTTGTTGACTTTTTAATGATACTTGACTGTCAAGTTAGAAAGATTTGCTAATAAGTACTCTTCCAAATGTAGCAAATATTGTGCTTTTTGGAAGACAAATACTAAATAACTTGTCAAAAGTATGTAAACATCTGTTTTGGAGAGATGTTTGTTGACATTTTTTTTTAGCTAAGGAAATGTATTAATTGTCAAAACTCGATTCTTAGCCCTGTGTGGTTTAATAATACTATATGTATTAATAGCAAACATATTTATTACAAACAATGGTTTGTCAATGGTGTGCATCGTTTATTAGATTATTTCAATAGTGACAATACAATGATGAACTATGAACATTTTTGTCAACAATATGATTTAAAACCTCCTTAAACACATTTTTTAGGAATAATAGAATGCATAAAAAAGTTACATTAAGATTATAACACAGAATATATTGTTTAAAGTATACCTTATTGTCCAGAATTTTTACAAAAATTAAGAAATATTAGCAACGTTCGAGAGATTTTTATGATATCATTATTGACCAGAAATGGGAAAAAAAGCCAAAATGGGAATTTAAATGGGAAAATGAACTTGACTTGAATGTAAATGATATATGGTGGAAAAAGCAAAATGTTCTGTTTTGTTTAAAATAACTTAAGATGTCCAATTTAGGTTGTTTAAATATAGAATTGTACTTCGAATTCTTGCAACTAACACATTTCCATATAAAATTGGAAATGCAGACTCGGTACTTTGCACTTTTTGTAAACATAATGTAGAAACTATAGGCCATTTATTTTGGGAATGAATTTTTGTAAGTGAAATATAGGATAATATATTAACATGAATAAAAGAATAATTCATTTAAATACATGTATCACATTGAACAAAGCTGCTGTTTTACTAGGTAGACTTTACAAATATTTCAACATTTTTAATGTAATATTATGTATAGCAAAAAGGCATATTTATAGAAAAGGAGTAAAAAAGAACTACCATCACTAATGGGAATTAAATGTGAAATATTATATTATTATAAATGTGAAAAATTCATTTATACAAAAAATTGTGAATTAGAACATTTTAATAGAAGCTGGACAACGCTCTCCATAGGTAATAATACTGATACTTAAGTCTATTTCCCCTACAACATTAGTTGTTACAAAACAATGAATTCTTTATTTTTGTTTATCTGAATTATTTTCGGACAATGATAACTGCATATGCATGCAGCTGAATGAATGGAGTATGAAAGATGAATGTATGTAAAAAAATAACCTCATGTTACAATAATGTTCATGTAAAAAAAATACTATGTTAAATTAACTTAAAATAGATTCCAAGGCTACCCAACCTTGGCTATAAGGGCAACCATATATGTACTGGGGTAACAAAAAAATAATATAAACTAAAATTCTGGGTTGCAGTGGAAATGTCAGTAATGATAATACCCCTGTGGTGTGGTAGCAATATGGCATAGTGTATATGTTCTTATGAGAGCTCTTGTGTGCAAGGACTGGGTCATGACTATGGATTCAAAGAACTATAAACGGCGATTTGCAAAGTTGACGTATTGTAAACTAGATTTTTAGATTCAACGTGTTCAATATGGTGTTTGTAAAGCAAAAAACCTATTTTTGTTAATCTACATGTACATATTCTTTTGTAAAGTAAAATTTGTGACTAAACCGAGCACTGCGGCCAATGAATTTATGTGAACTTATAAAGCTTGAACAGTAAACATATTTACAGCAAACACATTTAATGCCCTGTAATTACATGCATTTCCATGCATCCATGCACATGTTGATCTTTACTGCAAATTATTCATATTTAATTGGAATTATTTTCTATAAGGAATGCTTTCTTTAAATACTAGGTACGAGATATGGTGCAGGAGTTTATTTTGCTGTGCATGCGTCCTACTCTGTTGGATATTGCAGACCTGATTCTAATGGACTAAAGCACATGTTCTCTGTTCAAGTTGCGACTGGTGATGTTTGCGAGGGGAAAAGTAGCATGAATGTTTTGCCACCAAAGCCAGGCGCAGGAAGTCATGTGACCTATGACTCTGCCTCTGATAATCCTTTTAATCCAGAAATGTATGTGATATTTCATGACAGTCAGGCCTACCCGACATATCATATAATCTTCAGATGAACTACCAACTAATATGTCAAGAAAAACTCAAAAGCATGAACCACTGTAAACTCACTGGATTTTGCATTGTGCCTTTACTAATTTAAAATAATTTAAGCATATTTAAGTACGACTAGTTACATTATTTGGAAGGTATATTTACGTGATAGTAGTAAAATCATTTGTAATTGCAATTAAATTGTTTTGTTGAGTTAAAGAAAATGTCCTAGGCTACTCTGATAATGAAAACAAAAAATAATGTGCGCTGCATTCTATGAAATTTTTTTGTAGATACAGTAAATCATATCATGAAGAACACATGGCTATATATGATTACAAGCACTAATTTAATTGTTCTTGAATTGGTTTTGGGGGATTTCGTATTAATGAATGTTTTGATCTTGAATACTGTTTGTTATCTCCATATTTTTCATTGTAAAAAGAATGCAAAATCAAATCACGTTATGAATAATATACTGTCAATTAATAAGTTAAACGTTATAAGTGTCATTTAATGCTATGGTGTGATGATTTTTTTTAATTGATAAAATGCTGAACTTATCAAGTTTATTTAAACTTTTCAAAATGAAAGTTGTCGTTTTAACAATTATTCTTTTCATTTTTACAATCTAAATTTGTACATTCAAAGAAGATTTTATTTTCATTCTACTTTTTATGTGTAGAAGACCATGCATATAAGTGTATTATTGTACATGCATTATATTTTGACAATTTACAAAATGTTTATATGTATTAAGAGATGGTTATAATTTTCTATACTAGTGTATAATCTTTTAAATTTCTTAATTCGATTCAATAATAAACTTATTGAAGCCACCCCTCTATTTAAAAAGGTGTCCTATCTGTGAAAAATTCTTCTTTTTTGCTTCCAAAATGATTTAAACATATACTTAGTAGATTTTGTTCATCTTAAGACTTTAAGATTTTTGGTTTGGCCAAACATGAAAAAGATCTTTGTAAGAATGGGACGGAAAAGGAGCAGATGGGGGATGCTAACTCCTCCATGGAACTTTATCTCACCTGATGCTTTAGAGGTCGCCCGCGTGGCGCAGTGGTTAGAGCGTCTGCTCTAGAGTCGCGAAGTAGGGAGTCAATCCTTACGTCGCGGGTTCGAATCCCATTGTGGGACGTGGATACCGGTCCTTCGGATGAGAACGTATAAACCGAGGTCCCGTGTCGCAGCAGGTGCTGGCACAAAAAAGATCCCTCCCTGCTCAATGGCCCTGATTGCCGAGTGTAGGACAAAATTTGCAGCTCTCCACCGGCAAGTGGTGGCGTCTACATATGAGTGAAAAATTCTCGAGAGGGACGTTAAACAAGATACAATCAATCAATCTGATGATTAAAAGATCCGTGCTTGCTCTGTTTATAATGTTTTATTTGAATGGACTTTCGAGCTTCAAGCAGGATGAAAGTGTACATACCATTTTAAATAAATTTTTTAAAAGTTCTCAGAATACAAAAAAAAAACAGTTAGTAAAATAGTATCATGCTAAATTCATCTTTCTGTGTAACTACTAACTTAAAAGTACAAATATGCACAATGTAGTGGTGAGATCTGATTGCTCTGGAAATTTTTTTCATACTGTAAAATCCGTTTTGGCGAAACATTATTGAATGAACAGTAAAATGTAAAAACAAAATGTAGAAATACATACTTACTATTTTCAGTTATCACTGCCTAGTTTGTTGTGTATGCCAGAGCATAAACGATAGCCGAAAACGTGAAATATTTTGATACAGAGACGAAACCTTTTTTGCATATATTTATCACATATTTCTATTTTGATAGCATATCCATCAAACTAGACAGTGATTCCTATTTTACATTTGTATTTGTTATGTTCTATGTTCATTTCAATGATGTTAGACAATAGTGCGAGGTAGTTATGCATACTATCTGTGGCTAGCAATTAAGTTTCAGGTGAAATTATCAATAAATCAAATTCACGTACCTTTTCAACATGTTCAAAGAGTTTTCTTAGAGAAAACATGTTAGAAATGTTAATATGTGAACATAAATTTATCATATGCATAAAGTATTTAAATAACTTAATAAAAAAAACATATCTTTGCTTCATAAACTTTTTTGCCAGTAGCTTGCCTCTTTTTAGAAATTGCTTGCACGTAGAGTATGTTCTTGTGTATTTGATTAAGAAGGTAACATAAATTCAAACATGTGATAATGATAATGGTATATTGCTACTTAAAAAAGGAAACTTGATAATAGAAAATTTGAAATCATAAAATATTTAGCCTAACATAAAGTTTTGTCATGACGTTATAATTAACGCATTTTTCTATATAGTAATACACTATACACCAGGGGTGTCTTTAATTTGGGAGGGATACTGTAGACGTACTTTTTTCCACGGGGTCATAATTTCGCGGAATCTCAATTTCTGTTGAATCCGCATGTAGAAAATAACGCGGATTTCCTAGACTGTTACTGTATACCTTACACTTATATTAAGTACGTAAAATTTGTGACCGCGTACATAGCGTAAATTAATACCACGCGAAAAAGTACTTCTTCGGTAATAACCGTATATAGAATTAATGTATAAATGTTGTTATTTGTTTAAACGTTAATGTTGGTATATCTAAATGATGACATGAAGGTCAGGGCAAAAGTCTTCTTTTTATGTAGAAGATTTTAATGAATTAAGCTTCAATTATATACAAACAATATCTACTTAAACCGGGCGTACTAAGTATCCTAAGGAAATTTAGAATGTCGGAAGATCTACAAAAACTACATTGATATTGTCGATCAGAATCTCGACACTTTCTTTATTTATATCAATTTTAGAATCTGGAACGTTCAAACCATGTTTGAAACTTGTCAATATCAGGTAATAACGGAAAAATCCGTTTTCAATTCAGTGTATTTATAAATAATGGACAAACAATTAGTATGAAAAACGTCAGTCAGCATTTGACTCGATGTAATCCAATGTTACTAACCGACAATCACTACAGATGAAGAAAATAGGGAAGATTTTTACAAAAAACTACAGGTAGCAGCTAGTGGACAAGGCACCAAGGCGATACATGGAAACCTTGATAGGTGACATGAATGTCACGATAGGTGCAGACAATTCTCGGTACCCATGAGGCACTTGGAAACATGAACAAGAATGGAGAGCGTTCAAAGATTTTTGACCTTGTGATTGAATGAAGTGTCTACCAGCATATAAACATCAACAAAGAGACTTGGATTTCTCCTGATGGAAAAAAACAAGAATCAGATAGACTTCATTACTATCGCAAGGAAGTGGAGACGCAGCCTCCTTGATACAATGTCAAGAAGAGGGATTGATATAGCTTCAGGCCACCATCTAATATAAGACACTATTAAAATCAAGTTGAAAGCCTTCAAGGAAACTTTGACCGACTACACATCAAGTTTTACACCCAGATACTTCAGGAAAAAAACAAAAGAGACACGTTTGACATCACACCAAAAACCAGATTTGAGGTCCTAAACAATGTCTGTCAAGAAACACCATTAGAAGAACACTTGAACTCCATCAAAGACAAGGACTGAGACCATCAAGGATCTGAGGAAACTAAAGAATGGGAAAGCAGCTGGGTCTAACGGAATCCCTTCAGAAGCCCTTTAGGCAGACATAACAGATATGTTACTACCTCTCCCGCAAAAGATCTGGTCAGAAGGGAAGATACGAACTGATTGGAAAAAAGAACATGTAGTAAAGCTCCAAATGAAAAACTGGAACAATGCAAGAACTGGTGCAGCATCATGCTCCTCTCTGTCCCAAGCAAGATTTTGACAAGAATAATACTGGAAAAACTCATAGATGCTATAGAGGAAGGACTTCGTCCAGAACATGCAGGCTTTAGAAAGGACAAGTACTGTGCAGACAAGGTTGCCACACTATGTATAATAATCGAACAGTCACGAGTGGCAGTCAACACTTTGAACTTCATCGACTTTGATTGTATTGTTAGTATTGATAGTCATCTGGAAAATTCTCCAGCATTATGGAACGCCTCCTACCTTTATCAACCTCATACAACAATCAATTGTAGGACTGGGATACATGCCAAGTCATCCACAATGGAAAGCTAACAGAAGTTGAAAGCCATGAGATGAAGACAGGGGTAAGACAAGGCCGTTTACGGTATCCAATGATTTTCTATTGGTAGTGGACTGGGTCATGCGGGAAACGGGGGTGGGGTAATGGTAATGTGTAATGGTAATTGACAGTAGTTAATTACAAATGTCGATGTAATTGAAAGTAGTGTGTAATTGGCCAAATTTTCAATTACTTGTAATTGTAATTTGATTAATTACTTTCAAAGAAGGCATATACTTCACTTTTATTTTTTAATGACATTCAATTACACTGAAGGTCAGTAATATTTTAATTAAAAATAGCCCCCGCCCCCTTTAAATCCTTTACACGAGCTTCTAATCCTTTGTTTGCCATATCTGCAGCTTATTTAAGAAGTGATTAACAGGTTTAATTAGTGCCCTAGAGTCATATATATTGACACCGAAATTATATAGAGATTTTACACTTGTTTTGACTTCACCTATTGGTAGTTTTGTACAAACATTGACTTTGTCTTATAAAGGTAACCCTTGCTACAAATCTTTAAGATATTTATTTTAGTTTTTATAAAAATAATTGTCGGAAGACAATTTGACACACAATATGTCAAATACCCATTTTTTACTACAGCTTAGAAAGTGGTAGTGGATTGGGCATACCCTCCGAAAACCATCTGGAGATATACACTATGCACTCGAGTGGGACCACCAAGGCAAACGTCGAGTTGGGTGTTCTTAGACAATTTGGCGACGATCATGTTAAGAGGAATTTAGACGGTATGGACATACCTACTAAATATATATAGTAGCTGGAAACAAATGAAAACGGCTGCTCCAGAGTGCGATGAAGGACTGTTGCCGAGGCCTTATGTTCCACAAGAAACCAAAAGAAACCATTATGTGACTATGGCACCTGATCCCACCTCTAATGTTTTCGAAGGTCCGTGTTTGCTCTGCACCTATTTTGTATTGTTTTATGGACTTTGATATTGAATGCTGTTCGTTATATCCATATCCTTCATGTGACAGGATTCAAATCGCTGAACCAATAGCTAGAGTCATCAACAGTTTAGTTCTGTCTACGTGAAAAGGGTATCTTTTTGTTTGGTTCATTCCAAAGTGTTTCTCACTCAACAACAGCACCAGCAATACCAAACATCAGAGAACAAATTTCCACCTCTCAAGAAATCATGATTTTCATTATAAACTACCATTGACTATTTATGCATTGATATATCTCATTACTCAGTGATGGAAGGTTTTAAGATGTTATAGTTTATAATATTATACTTTCATGTAATTAGTTGAATCTGATTGCATGGTCGAGAAACATTTGCTAAATAACACTATTACCCGCTGAATAATGAAGCCACGCCCTCCAGCGTAGCAACAGTCAACATTGCTTGACGACGGGTGGTATTACAAAAAATAGCAACTGTGCAGAATTTGTGCGCGCACTGTTCACTGTTATATGTATTTGTATAAAACATTCAGTAATATATAATAAATATTGCTTGTAGTTGAGTGTAACATTGAAAATTTTCACCCCTCGAAAACCATTGTCAACCTCGGCTGCGCGTCGGTTGACAATGGTTTTCTTGGGGTGAAAATTTTCAATGTTACACTCAAATATATGCAATATTTATATATTATACAAATAAGCCTCGATATCACATGGTAAAATGTAGTTATTGATTTGATACAACTTATTTCTTTGATGCTCAATAAAAGAATCGTTTTATGTAACAACCTCCCTCTCCCTTTATATTTCAATGTAAAAGTGTGATTCAATTCCTCTTGTGGCATCATGTTTGCTCAAAGGGCCATGGAGATGTTTCAACATTAAATGATTAACTTTGGTCCAGCCATTTAAGGTGAGAACATTGAATCAATCGCATCATCTCGTGTCTTTCCGTCAGAGGTCGGAAAAACAATCTCGAATATATTAATATCACCTGATGTTAAAATTTTAATCATCTTCCTGTTTATTCAAATATAGTGTAGACGGAGATAGAAGTCCCTTCTATGGTATATTTTAGGTAATATCGTTACATTGAATAAATTTGAACTCCATATTCCACAGATGAAATGTCTCCATGAATTCATTTCAAAGATCGTGAAAAGGGGGAGTTGTAATGGCGTCTTCCTAGTACATTCGAGGTCGTTTTTCCGCTAGTCGGAAAGGCATGAGAAGTTGCGATTGAACATTGAATAAGAGTACAATAGCTGTTTTTTTTTAGGTTTAAATTCCGTCCTGTCTGACATCATTTTCTTTTTATTAAAACATTACTGAACTTCAAAAAGGAAAATAAAAAAAATGTTTCTCCAGAACAGTTTTCATATAGAAATTAACGCTCTCTTTATACAAATTCAGATATGTGCACAATAAAATGTTCTAGGGCATTAAAATAGCCAAATAATCTATATAACTCTTGCATTTCAAGCAGTTGTTGAAGACATTTAAATCCCCCTTTAACAGGGAAGTATAAAACCTGATAATAGGTAATATTGATCAACAGAACAGTCGCCATTACTGTAGTCATGCAGGTAAGAAACTTTCTGCGTATTTATATGCATAACATTTCAGTCATCGAAAATTCATTAGTACAGGCTTTAACTATAGGAATAAAATTTCTTTTCCCAAAAGATTCAATAAACCTAATATATGCAATATAATGACTTGTAAATTTACATGTGTATTACCTACTGCCTCAGACGAATTGTGTTTCTGGAGTCCAAAAAAATTATGTTGCCCTCAAACTCACTCAAAATGTATATTCATTAATGTTGAATTTTTGTGCTTCAGTCACAAAATCTAATTATGGAACCCAGAACCAGTGCCCAGGATGTAATGCAATGTGACCTGTGTGAGACCGGTGTGGTACAGATGCACTGTGATACATGCTTTGTCAGCCTGTGTAAGGCCTGTGTAGGAGAACATGCTTTAGCTGATCTCTCAAAACCTCGCAAAATTGTGGACTTCAGGGACAGGAAATCCACTCCCCTCCACCCTAAATGTAAATCTCATAACAAAGAGCAATGTGAAATGTACTGTAAAAAATGTGAAATCCCTGTCTGCAGCAGCTGTCTTGAATCCAATCAACATTTAGGTCATGAATTATCTAAAATCTTGCGGGTTCTGGATGAAAAGAAGGAAGAGATTACAAAAGAAAGAAAAGAATTAAATGATACAATTCATCCAACCTACCAAGACATTGCCTCTGATGTAAAAAACAGAATGAGACAGTTAGAAAAGGAATATGGAGATCTCTCAACAGCCATAACAAAACAGAGAGGGGACTGGCACAGAAAAATTGACAAACTTGTCAAGAAACTTAAAGCTGAAGTTGATGAGATGAAACGCACACAGTTACAAACTCTACAGAAACATCTGGATGAAATAAACAAGACAATGTCTGACATCAAGGATGAAATCAATTCAATGGAAACTTCAATAGACACAAATGACTTGTCAAAACTATTTAGTCTAACATCCAATGTACAAATATACAGAAATCTTCCACACAAAATTATACCGTCTTTACCCAAATTCATTCCAAGTAAAATCCAAGGAGAGGAATTTAGTAAACTGTTTGGAACCTTATCATCCAGTTCTTTAACATCAGACAAACATGGCTATAGCATGAAGACAACACAGAAATCACCAGAAGCTGGATCCTCTCCTCCAGCCAAACAGTTGCTTGATGAACCAGAGACTGTCACCACCATGGATACTGGGTATATAGATGACCTTTACAACTTGGCCTGTCTGAGTAATGAAGAAATCTGGACAAGTGGAGATAGCAAAACCATGAAACTCTTCAGCATCAATCAGGGATCACGGCTCAAGTCAATCCGAACCAAGTCAGGGAACAATCCATTGAATATAGCCATGACAAAAAGTGGAGATCTAGTTTATACTGATGACAAATTTAGAACTGTGAACATTGTGAAAAATGAGATATTAGAGGAAGTGATCAGACTGCATAAGTGGAAACCTCTAGGTGTCTGTAGTACCTCCTCTGGTGAGCTCCTGGTTATCATGGACAGTGATGATGACAAACAAACAAAAGTTGTCCGTTACTCTGGCTCCACAGAGAAACAAACCATTCAGTTTGATGATAAAGGTCAACCTTTGTATTCCTCTGGATCTTTTTTGATTAGGTACATAACTGAGAACAGGAACCATGATATCTGTGTAGCTGATGATGGAGCTAAAGCAGTAGTGGTGGTCTATCAGGCCGGGAAACTGAGATTCAGATACACTTAGCAGACTCCTGCTCCAAGGAACCTACCATTTAATCCACAAGGAATCACCACAAACAGTCAGGGTCACATCCTTACAGCTGATGTTAACAATGACTGTGTCCACATCATAGATCAGGATGGACAGTTCCTCCGTTACATAGACTGTGGATTGAGTAAACCCTGTGGACTGTGTACAGATACAAATGACAATCTGTTTGTCGCTCAGTTATGGAACAAACAAGTGAAGAAAATTGAATATCTGCAGTGATTAACACATCGTCGAAAACCAGGGCCCAAATGTACGATCCTCTTCTTTTCTGTCCGTGGTTGAATGAGAAGAGATCATTATAAACTGACCATTGTGAGTTAAGCATAGTTGGATAATGAACTTTGATGTAACCTTTCAATACCCAATCGCAGTGTTCAAAATGTTTATTGTATACTGCTGATGAAAATTTTTGATTTCAATTGCGATGGAAACAAAACTTTCATTGACTGAATATGACGTCACAATAGAGAAGAGTAAATATTCAGGATTACGATACTTTTTGTGACCAAGCAGCCAAGGGTACGAGAAAGCTATATGCGGACTCCGGACCGCGTGGCTTGAGACTATGTGATTTACATTACTGTATTGTATTTTATGTAATTAAAGAGGTATGCAATATAAGGCCTCAAATAAAATTTATTTGTTTGCAGTTGCCTATCAACCCACTTAAAATGCACCCAACCTAATTTTTTTAAAGCCATTTTGTTATAATATTTACTTTTAATTTTTAAGATATTAACAATGTTTAATCTTAGGGGGTTGTTTATGAATCTGTGGTTCATACAAGAATGAAGACTATTCTTGTTTAGTAGGTCTATGAAAAGCTCTATTATTTGTTATCTAACAAATCTTTTAAAGAACTTTATTCAGTAGTATATAACCAATATTTGCCCCTAAAATCAAACTTTGACGGAGTAAAATTTAATTATGTTTTAAAACAGGGGATCCATGCTGACTTCAAAGCATTGAATGTTTTCGTCATCAATGACGTCATATGTTTGAAATGACGTCAGGAAAATGACGTAAATTTAAAATTTCCATGATTTCTATAGAAAAATGTAAAAAAAAAAAAAAACTGCGTCAATATTTTGAGTAAAAATCACCAAGCGCAGGATTGTTCAGGCTCAATATTTTGATATAATGTGTAGAATAATAATATCAATTAAATATGCAAATACTGTTCCTGAACAGACATGCGCTCTATAAATTCTTTAAATAAGATTGTTGAAAATTTTGTCCATTTTGTCCTTTTTCTGAAAAATAATGCAAAATCAGACGAGTTTGTGGCGTCATAAATTAAAAAAAATTGTCAATAACCTACTTTGAAACTATAATATGTTTTGTTAATTTATATTTTTCATACAATTTATACAATATAACATATTTTAAGAATTTTTCAAAATTTAATTTTTGTGGGGGCAAAGATATGCAATATATCGAATATAATTCTTTAAAAAAAAAAAAAAAAAAAAAAAAAGCCTACCAATGCAACCTACCCACTCGAAAAATTTACGTCGGCTTGACCTAACTAATATATATGTATGTTGAACTATAGAATCCCGCAATAATAAATACTTTCAGTCTTATCATCAATACACATCTTTTGTCATTACAAAGAATAATGAATGTCCATTCAAAATAATTGAAACTGTGATATGTGTTATAATTATAAATATTTACATTCGCTGTGTTTTTCTAGTAAGCTTACTGTGAAATTGATTTGAAAACCATTTTCGTGTATACTCACGCGTAGAAATATTCAGGGAGAAACGTGCGTTAACGTGACGTCACAATGAGACTGCAGCGACGTTAGTAAAATGCAACAATATAGGGCAGCGAGAAATTCAAATATTGAGTATATTTTAGTTGCTTCTGAACATGTAAAATGTAAATATTAGCGCGCTTCATGAAATATGCCTACGTGACAAGTCTGTGTGATTCACACACCAATAACTCACACAAAACTGAAAAACATTCCCTAATTTAGCTCAAATTCGCTGCAGTGTAAGAAAAATAAGGTTTTAGGACATTTTTCCACAATACAAAGCACTATCTAAGAATTACTGGCACATTTAATTAAAAACTGCCAAAATATTTCAAGCCCATTTTAGAATATTTTTTCCTTTTAAATGAAGTTATTCCAAGTGCAAAATGACAATGAAAATCTCCACTGCATATAATTGAAGAAAACAAAATTCTAATGGAATGTACATATTTTCACGACTTTTACACACTACTATTTCTGCAGTAATTACATGTAGTTTTAGTCTATGCCCATTTTTTTTTTTTACTTCATTCACTGGACTGTAATATGATTTCATCAAATGTTCATAGATGTATACACCTTGTATAACCAATAAATTGTCAGAACAAGCTGTATTAAATGCATTAACCCTTTCGACGCCAAAGCGACAAAAATGTCGTTTACTGGGTCAACGCCAAACCGACAAAAATGTCGTTTTCCAAAAAAATATTTACTTTATCTTTTATTTGCCATTTATCTTTTGTGTAATTAAACAAAGTCATATCTAAATTTTGACACAAGTATAGGCCTTTATTTTTGTATATGTACTGGTCTTTATATGACGTCATTTTGTTACGTTGACGTTGAATTGTGACGTCAGGTTATGAGTGAGTACGCTAGCGTTGAAAAAAACAAAGTATGGCGCACCATTCGGACATTACTTCTGGCATAGATTCGGACGTGTTCGATTCCGATGATGATGATAATGAAGAATTTACTATATTTCGAGGTCCGTGGTTTAATGTAGTGGATCCTAGCTCGTTTATCATGCCGGACCCTGATTTCCAAGAAGATACAGGGCCCTTCAATTTTGATCCAGGTATGTCAAGTTTGAAGTTTTTCATGAAGTTTCTCCAGCATGATCAACACGACATTGTCGATATTCTTGTAAGGGAGACAAACCGTTATGCAGATCAGGAGATATTAAGAAGAAGCAGGCCCCCATGATTTTAGGTCCACATTCACGGTTCCGTGATTGGTATCCCGTAACCCGAGAGGAGATGTTGGCTTTTATGGGCATAATGTTGAGCATGGGGGTAGTGTCTGAAGAAACCAACATATGAATCTTACTGGGAGAGTAATACACGTGCTTGGTCAATGGAAACTCCAAATTTTTCCCAAATCATGGCTAGAAATCGATTTCAAGCCATACTGCAGTTTCTCCATTGCAATGATAACACAACGGCAGCAGAACCTGGGGAAATTGGGTATGATCCACTTCACAAAATTTCTCCAATCATTGAGTTTTTCAACGAAACCTTCAGCCGAAATTACAAGTATGTTTTCAATATAATACATATACACATAGATACATGTATCTTAATTTTTTCCTCACGAGGAAAATGAGCAAATCGAAGTTAAAAATTATAATGTGAACAAAATTTTATATATATCTCAGTATTCAGCCCTTTTTGTGCTGCCATTATTGTTGTAATTTTCTATATGTGGATCCAAAGATATCTGACGTTCGAATATTTCGTACATGTTAAAAACCTGTATTTTTCACGAATATCTTACTTGTTGTATTGTACATCTTTGATTTGTTCCTCTATGGTAGAAATGCTTCATATTCTGTCATGGTATATATGATATTTATATATTATTTAAATGTGAAATAACTGAATATCCTCCTGGGGTCGGTGAATAAATATACTAAGTACTCGTATATAAAGTTTTGAACGACAGAATGTTGATGTTAAACGCAGTCAGGTTATTGTCTTTAATACCCCCCCCCCCTTTTATGTGTCAATTTTTTTAAAATTTCTTTTTAAGAATTCAGTAAAAATCTGCAAATGAGAGCTTCCTGTTAACACATATTTTTTAATCATAAACTTATTCATCTGTCAGGATTTTATTTTGTTTTTCAAACAAAGGCTTAACCGGGAAGTTTGTGTAGATAAAAGAATAGTAGGTTTTAAAGGAAGGCATCATCTCAAACAATACATCTCAAATAAGAAGGCACACAGATGGGGGATCAAACTTTGGGTGCTGTCCGACTCCACTTCTGGGTACACTCATCACATTAACGTATACAAAGGCAGGAGAAATGAGCGACGCAGTCCGAACGGACAAGTAAGTGCTTTTGACAGAATATAATAATTGTAACTGTTGAGAAAGTATTTGACACGATATTTCATTAAAAAAGTATATTTTCACTGCGATAATGCAGTATCCTACAAGTAGAGCTATTTGTTAAGTCACGTGCTCTGATCTTGACTTATGGGGGTGGTCCTGCTTTTCTGTATGTTTGTTTTCAAATCTCAAGCATCATGCATTTACGTGAGTACTCTGGTATGCTTTTTCCGCGAGAACTTGAAACTGATTTTCCGCTATTTGATTTACACGGGCTTATGTAGATTTGAAATATCTTTTCCATGAATAAAAAACAAAGACAAGTCGAAATATTCTGTTCCGCGTCTTTTCTATTATTTGTATATCTTGCTAAACTGTGATTTTATTTCGAGGAATTTAACAAACAGCGGCAAATTTTTATTTGTCAATTAATTCAATGCTTAGAAGACTTTGTGATTTTAAAAAATAACTAAAAGATTTTTTTAGCAGAGTGCATATTTACAAGCTAAAGAGTATAAGATCAATTAATACCATAGTATATTAATTACATAGCATTTTTTTTTATCAAAACGTGGGAGTGCAACACCCACCCCCCCACTCACACACACCGAAAAAAGAACACTAAGTGAAAATCACGCGAACTCGTATATGTTGTAGGGTTATCAGGCAGTAATGGACTTGATGGAACCCTATTTCTACAAAGAGCATCATGTCACTTTCGACAGTTTTTTCACCAGACCCAGACTGGTATACGATCTCTTGGACAAGAACACCCATAGTACAGGAACAGTTATCAAGTCTCGAAAGGATATGCCTTCCAGTTTTAAGAACCCAGCAATGCAGAGAGGAGATATGAATGTTAAGACACGTGCTGGAGTGATGGCTCTACAGTGGGCGGACAGGAGAGTAATCCGAGAGTTGTATCTTTGTTGACCACTACTGGTTCTGCAAGGTATTGAATTTAATGAATCTCTTGAGACTGTAGCTCTGTTGGTTTGTAATGAAATTAAATAGTGATGAAAACATTTTTTTTTCATAGGGTTTGTAATAGCTTTTTATATTACCTTTACCTCTTAGAATTCGGTGTTAGTGAAATTAAACGAAAACTATGACTAGTTGCCAGCCTTTCGATAGTATTTTACACCAAGTTACATTTATCATCATGTAATCGCTTCTCATCATAAATCAAAACATATGTATGTACATGTAATTCGCTTGCTTTTCTACATATATACCGGTTGTACACTTTTATTTTTAGTTTATTAAAATATTTTAAAAATATAAAACTATAGGAAGAGTCAAGTTTAAAAGTGTTACATATTTATAGGCAAATACAAACAACAAATGGAAAGGGTCGCGAAGTTTCTATTTCTGCCATAATAGATACCTACAATCTTACGATGGGAGGGGTCGATCTCGGAGATCAACTAATTCTCCAATTTGAGCCACAGTTCAAGAGTTTAAAGATGTGGAGAAAACTCCTATTTCACTCTCTTGTAACCGCAGCAGGTATATGCTTTAACATACACTTCCATGTATATAAAACATATTTGATTAAAGCTGTTCGGAATGTAAATTGTTATAAAATATTTTCGTGAAGTCGAAATGATTTTATCTTATATCTTTGTAGTAAATGCCTATATTTGCTACCGAGATTCCTTCATTGTACAACACAAAATGGATCATCTGAAGTTTCACCAGCAGCTTTGCCAAGAACTTATTTGAGGATTTCGCCAGGGTAGTAGGAACAGACAGCTGCGTTTGATACCAGTCCAAAAGAGAACCTTGGCAAGATTGTCCGACAGGCACTTTCTGTCCAATATACCAGATGGTAAGCGTAAGAGATGTGCTGTTTGTGCGGGACATGGAGGCGAATTCAGGAAGACAAGAATTCAGTGGTGGTGTGAGGACTGCAGGGTCGGACTCTGTGTAGAGGGATGCTTTAGGAAATTTCACACGAGGATCAATTTTGAGGCGTAGTTGGAACACACATATAACAAACGATTACTCTACTCACTATGAAACTACCTTGCATTTAATCTAATTATGGTGTGTGTGTTTAACAGAGAGAGAGCGGGATTTATTTATTACCTATATTTATATTCTTATTACAGATAAATTCGAACCTATTTATAGCAGGGCTTGCGTCTGTCATAATGCTGTCTTAACTAAAACGAATGGGACTAGGAGCTAAATCTTTTTATGTTCGTAAAAATTAGAGAGTACGAGTATTATAGCAATTTAGCTAAACACATTGATTAACTTTGTTGACGGTGGCAAAATCAAATATACATGTATATTAAGTAAATTATTCAACAATATCTGTCAATCAAATGTTACGCACTTATTGAGTTTACAGAGAGGATATGTTATCAGTTTGTTATTCAAAAAAAAAGTTTTAACAACTTAAACACTAGTGACTACATATATTGTAATTGTATATTGACTGATATTCTTATTTCAAATTATAAGTATGTGACAGTGTACACTGTAGTATACACTTATAACAAATATCAGAATTTCAATATATTATTTGAAAATATGAAAAAGTTTTTAAAGACTTATCTTGAGTATGCTAGCTACAGACATAAATATTTTTTAAATTTTATTTTACGCCAATTAAAAAAAATTATTGGTATAAAAAATGTATAAATTAATATAACATAAATATATAGCATGCATTTTCCAAGTCAACATGGAACATCCTATTATCTTGGTTATACAGGTGCTCGTTTTATAACCAATTTGATGCTTTTTTCTGAAGCAATTGTTTGACGTCCGGATTGACGTCATAGTATGGCATTCATGACGTTATAGACGTAACGTTATTCGGCGTCGAAAGGGTTAAACTTGCCTTGTTTTGTGATTGAGATGTCTACACATGTACGTACATGTCCAGCAGCTCTGTAGATACCGGGTATCAATTTAAGATAAGAGAGAGACTATGAAAATACACTTTGATGCTACGCTTTATACTAGTGTTTTGTCAGTTCATAAACAATAACAAATTTTTTTTTCAAACTAAAACATATTTCAACAAAAATAAATCTACAATACACAATAATACAGGAGCACAGATGCTCGTGGACAGGATCATCCATACCCCCCCCCAACCCTTTTTATTTTCAAATATTAAAAAGAAATCTAATATTTTTTTCTTCAATTCTAATCTCTGACAACTTAATCCAATATGTTTCTATCTGAAAATCAAGAAATATATCAATCATATGCAATTCACAGTCGTTTTTTTATCTATGTACGTGAAACGACTGTGAATAGAAATTACAAATGATATATATTTCTGTGATTTTATTTTAAAAAATCAGATTTTTTTAGTATTGAAAAAAAGGGGGTGAGTTAGGGATAATTCTGTCCACGAGTACCTGTGTACAAGAGGTCATTTAAAAAAAAACGTTTGGTTGTCCTCTCCCGACAAAAATTGCATGCCTGACGCAAAACTTTTTTTTTCCTTCAGGAAGCAATTAGGCCTATTTTTCAAAGCATTCATGAAAATAGATATTGAAAATTCAGCATTTGAATTTGATTTAAAACTTTTGTAAAAAAAATTCTCATTACCGATCTGATTTTTTTTTTCACCCTGAGTCGGGAGAGGGCAAGGAAACATTATTTTAAAGTTGGTCTGATTGACATAAAACTTATATAAAAGTGTATTTTTTCAGTTATTTAGTATAGAGAGAAAGAGAATTGCACTAAAATATCACATGCTCAAGGCAAAATTGGTTTTAAAATCGAAATCAAAGAATGAATGTCCTTCACAGAGGTTTTGATGAGACTGTAGCTCTACTGATTTGTATTTATCACAGTGAAGTAGAAAAAATGGCCCCTTCACTAAACTTTTTTGAGGTGTAAAGACCTATGTTTTTTTTTTTCAATGACATCAAGTTTAAATAAAAGGCACCAAAACTTGAAAAAAGTTTGGCAATTCGAAGGATTTACCAAAAATTTTATTTCCTTTTTTAAAAGCATGACAAAAACAATCATTAATTTTTATATACTATATCTTCACATAGTCAAGTCTAGGGTATCAAGTTTAATTGCAATCATATCAGAACTAAGGAAATCAGAAGTCTCTTTTCCTTAATTTTCTTGTTTCTCATTTCCCTTAAATAACATTTGTCAAAATATTTTAATGAAAGAAAAAGAATTTTGGAGGAAAAACTGCTTAGGGACAGATGGAAAACAGACATTTGGTCAATCCATAAGCTCTTCTGAATTTTAAAAGTTTTAGCAAAAATAAATGCAGTTTTAAAACATGGGCAATTGATTATAATCCATACAGTTCCACTTTATTTAATTGATAGTGCCTTTTGATATAAAATGAAAACGTCTTTCTTTCTTGTAAATTTCATATACATGCACTGGGTACAATCATTTACAATAAAGTATCTTAAATGCACATAGTGATTTTTCTAAGAACTCATTTTATTACTTGATGATATTTTTCATTTATGTTATTATGATTTCAATTACAGTACACATAATTGAAAATAATTTATAATAATTGAAATTTGCAATGGTAATTGCACTGGATATGTCATAACGATCCATGCACTTTGTGCGTTTTCCGTATACCTATAAGAAATTAAAGCCTTCTGGATTATCTGAAGATTATATGATAAGCCGGGTAGGCTTGACTGTCATGAAATATCACGTACATCACAGGATTGCTAGGATTATCGGAAGCAGAATCGTAAGTCACATGACTTCCTGCACCTGCTTTTGGTGGCAGTACATTCATGGCACCATTTCCTCTACAAGCATCGCCAGTGGCGACTTGGACGGAGAACATGTGTTTGTGTCCGTTAGAGTCAGCTTTACAATAACCGAGGGAGTAGGAAGCATTCACAGCAAAGTAGACACCAGCACCATATGATGTACCTGTACAAATAGTAAAAACAGTAGTAAGGGCTAAAGCTTTCATACTTCACAGATGTAATCCTTGTGACAAGATCTTTCGATGAATTTCAATAACTTTGACCCTATGATCTTGGAGTTTGACCTACTTTTTAATACTTTAACCTTGGCCATAAGTTTTGGATGGCAAGAGCTTACGCTTTCATACTTCCTATATGTAATCTTTGAGTCAAGGCCTTTTATATAAACCAACAACCTTGACCCTTTGACTTTGACCCTGGAGTTTGTCCTATCTTTCACAAGAGGCCCATGGGCCACATCACTCACCTGAGCATTAAGGGTAGGAAAAGTAGAAAAGGCTTTTTTATTGTAAAGTTTACATCCAAAAGTAGTCCCATGACCAATCATGGATATGCTATTTTTTAGAAAATGATTTTTAAAGAATTTTCCTATATATTTCTATGTAAAACTTTGGTCGGCCATTTTGGTCCCGCCCTACCCCAGGGGGTCATGATTTGAACAAACTTGAAACTACACTACCTGAGCATGCTTCCATGTAAACATGATGAATTTTGGCTTTGTCATTCTTGAGAAGATTTTTAAAGAATTTTTCTATATATTTGTATGTAAAATTTTGGTCAGCCATTAACTACACTACCTGTGGATGTTTCTCCATAAGTTTCATCTTTCCTGGCACAGCGGTTCTTGAGAAGAAAATTTTTGAAATATGCCACCAAATTTTCATTTATTTCCAATACTCTCCCCTTGAATGGGGGCAGGGCCCTTTATTTGAACAAACTTGAATTCCCTTCACCCAAGGATACTTTGTGGCAAGTTTGGTTGAAATTGACCCAGCGGTTCTTGAGAAGAAGCCAAAAAATGTGAACAGTTTACAGACAGACGGACAGCTAGACAGACGGACACCAGACAAAATGTAATCAGAAAAGCTCACTTGAGCTTTCAGCTCAGGTGAGCTAAAAACGTTAACCTTGGTCATAACCTTTTAACAGGATGTGCTTGGATTTTATATTCCACATTTGTATTTCTTGTGAAAAGTCTTACTTTAGGTACATGTACCAACATATTTTAACTGCATTTGAGAAAACTTAACCTTAGATATGTTGCCATACGGGGGCTTTTGTGTTTCACAATCACATCTTCTTTTTCCTTAAGCAGGGAACACAGATTCTCTGAATCAGCTCATAGTTTTTAAAATGTGCTTCAAATATATGAAATTTTTGTCATCCATTTTAGTTGAATGTTTCTCTCATTTGTATTTATATATGTTAATTTTAACCATGTACATATACCTTTATGATTGTTATTTCCCTAGTCATGATTGGTTTAAAAGTTTGCATGTTCAGCAGATCCGACGACTAATTCACTATTAACTGATTAACTATACTTACCATGTCGCCCACAGTAGCTTCTATTAAATCCATTATTAATGACTTTGTCTACAGTTTCTGGGTAGGTTCCATGCCACAACCATTGCTCAGGATCTTTCCCATTTTTTACTTGAATTTCCTTCCTCTTTGCCGCATACTGCTGATACAGATATGGGTTTTGCACTCTCCGTATCTAAAATGATAAATTGATTTTCTATTAACGCAATATCATGATGCAAATTATTTTCAATTCAGAAAAAATTCCTTGAGAAAATTTGATCATTGTCAAAGCTTTGTAACTTTTATGTTATTATGAGAACATGGAATTTGGTTTACACCATGTCTGTACAATGTAAAAATAAGAACATGTATTGTGTAACTGATAAGTACGTATAAGTTTTTAAAATAAAAAGATTTATGAATTGCATTTGTTTCATGCATATCAAGATTCATACATCCATAAACCGCAGGCACATATTGAGTTAAAAACTGCATACAAACCTAAAACCTAATTTGAAAATAAAAATCATTTTATTCAATGCATTTTCAACTGGTATCTTTTGCATAATCTTCAGATATATTTACAAACATATTTTAAATAGCAAAATACATATTTATCAAATTTCGTTAAATAAAAAGGTTTTGTAAACATAAGATTTTGTATAATTTTCCCCTCACAAACCTGCTTTTTAACTCAATTTAAAGATGGAATTATAAAAATACATACTCATAAATCAAAAACTTTAACAAGTTAGATTTTTTCACATGTAAAAGATTGTCTAACATTTTGAAGGAGCAGAACCTAAAATTATCGGACAAGTGTATTTTTTAAATAAATGTATTACATGTATTATATTCTAGCAAATTTATAATACCCCCCCCCCCCCCACTCTGAGGGGCTGATGTCAAACTAAGGTACAGCGGTTTGAATACCAGTGTTGCAACCACTATTGAAAGAATGACCACTATTGAAATAATTATTTCAATAGTGGTCATATTTCAATAGTGGTTACTAACTATGTTTGCTACTGAAATGCACTCTCAACCATTATTAATATAATTATTTCAATAGTGGTTGTTATTTCAATAGTGGTTGCAACATACCATTAGTTGTGTTTTTTTTTTAGTTGATTAAAGCCTAGAAATTCTGTTAAAACAATAAGAAGAGGACAATGGACAGATGATAGACAGAAAGTGATCAGAACAAGACCCACAAGAACCTTTGCGAGATCACAGTGAGCTACAGTTTAACTTTGGTATCTCAAGCACTTTTATCTCAAATAGTCTAGAGGCACTTTTTTCCATGTGGTATAAATTTACTCTATGTGTTCCGTCACAATTTTTCTGCAGAAATTTGTCCAAGCATAATGTGCATTTAAGACATGTAGTGACATTCTAAGAAATTAGCATGATTTTCTACCTGCGGAATAAACAGAAATTAACATTCCAAATGAAAAAAAGTACATCTATAGTACCATTGATATGTTTCCGTAATATGAAAATCCCAACAACTTATTTTTTAAGTATTTTACCCTCAACTGAATATCTCAAATTATTAGCAGATTTTATTTGGGTCCCATTGAGTTTGAGATAACAAGGTTTGACTGTAATCATTGTATACATGATCATACATATTTAAAGAATCACTGTCCAGTTAGTATAGTTTGCCAGGGACATCAAAGCTTGGGGGAAACATGGGATAATTTGCATAACGAGCGAAGCCCGTTATGCATAAATTATCCCAATGCCATGTTTCCCACTAGCATTGATGTTCCTGGCATACTATACTAACTAGACAGTGATTACTTATATTTCCATTTCATTGTGAAATAAAATTGTTGATTTCAACTTAAAAATGTATTACATAGACTTAAATTACAAAAGGACTTCCATGACAATTTCAATAGTCCTCGTCCATTGAAGTCAAACATACAGGCAGCCGCACGAGATTTACATGCATATTTGGCCTCCTTAGCATCAGACACAGAGACAGATGCACACAAGATTTGCATGCATATTAGGCCTCCTTAGCTCATGACCTATCAACCTGCCTAATTTACATTCCGGCAGAATTATCAAGAAATAAACTCCACAACTTTCAAAGAGTTATCACAGAGAAAAAAAATTCGAAATGGAAATATTTCCTCATCAATGCTGTATGGAGTTGTTTTAATAATGTGAGAATTTAGTAATTGTTTATATGCACAAGATATCATTCTTTAATTGAATTGAAATCCAACCTCTACTATGTCTGAAATCTCGTACGAAGCAGATAACTGAGTCTTCAGCTTCCTGTATAATTTCTATTTCATGTACGATAAAAACACAAAACAGTTACTGTAAAATACAATTTGCTTAGTTTTTCACTTAAATTCTTTCAACCCTCACAATTCTAATGGTTCAAAGTACAAAAACTGCATTTGTTTTCATTTAATATACTTTAAATTTTTAATTCATTGCAAATAATGTATAGGTTGCCATATCAATTTAGACATCAGACCTAAATAAACAATAATATGCAATATGTTTTACATGTTAAGATTATACAGTTCACTGGCATCAGATATGCTTGTACATGTATATGTATTTGTTATAAGTAAAATAATTTAAATGTGTAATGCAAAACTTCAGTTGGTAATATTATTTGCCAATATCTACAGTAAAACACACATTAAGCAACCATGCATTTGATGAAATGAATATATAAAATGTGTGTTGCAATACTTGATGATTTTTTTTTGCCAATCTGTATAGTAAAACACATCTAAAGCAAACAAGCCAGATAGTATGTCCTTAAGTAAGGGAATATTATGATAAATTTATTTGAATTCACCAATGCTTACTCTTTATAATTTTCAATGAGAAGAGTATGAGGAGTTGACTACCGTATATACTCGCCTATAAGTCGGTCCGCCTATAAGTCGGTTGTATTTAATAAGCTTTCATTTCAGATGGACTGATCTCATATAAAACCTTACTTTTGATAGCTCGCCTATAAGTCGGACAATGAGTTTTAGACCAGAGATTAACTCCCAAAAAACCGACTTATAGGCGAGTATATACGGTACTCAAAGCAAGATGTCATTTTATTAGCAAAATATAAGCCTTTAATTAAGCAGAAAATCTTATGCATTTCCTACCTCTGATACTGACACAGATCCTTGACTAGAGGCGTTAAACTTTGACAAGACCTGCTTGTACTCATTATCCCCAGGTTTTAAGGTGATCTCAACCATTGTCTGGTGATTCTTCATAGGAACCCATTTGGCTGGCAGCCCAACAGAGGAAGCACCTTAATATCAAAATAAATCAAAGTACAGTGTATGTGTATTTCCCTTAATTTCTAGTAATTTATTTACTTTTCATAATTCACTTTAAAAAATTGTTTGTACAATACATGTAGCTTTAAGTAACAAGAGGCCCAAGGGCCTTGAATCGCTCTTCTGATAAATTGTACAATCTATCACTTCTATAAGAAGCCTCCAACTCTCTTAGCATCATAAGACCCAAAATGCATTGACTTACAAAGTTTGGTAATATTTAGCCAGTTAAGACAGAAGATATTACAGTACCAGATATAAATAAATTTAGCCATAAAATGTCAAAAGTAGGTCACGGTGACATACTTTTTGGTTGGCATTCTCCGAAAACCCAAGGTGCCTAAACTGACAAAGTTTGATGATTCTAAGCTATTACATACCTGAGATATTCAAAAGTAGGTCACCATGACCCACTTTTTGGTCGAAATTCCCCAAAAAGCTAAGATGCATAAACTGACAAAGTCTGATGATTTTAGGTCAGTAAGTACAAGAGATACTTTATTATAGCTACAAAATGTCAGAAGTAGGTCATCATGATCTACTTTTTGGTCGTCACTCTCCGAAAACCCAAGATGCCTCAACTGACAAAGTTTGATGATTCTTAGCCAATAAGTGCCTGAGATACTTAAATATAGCCATAAAATGTCAAAAGTAGGTCGCTGTGACCTACTTTTTGGTCGACAATCTCCGAAAACCCAAGATGCCTCAACTGACAAAGTTTGAAGATTCTAAGCCTATAAGTACCGGATATACTTTAATAAAGCCATAAAATGTCAAAAGTAGGTCAACTTGACCTATTTTTTGGTCGTCACTTTCCAAAAACTAAATATGCATCAATTCACAAAGTTTGATGATTCTAAGCCAATAAATACCTAAGATACTTAAATATAGCGATAAAATGTCGAAAGTAGGTCTTTGTGACCTTCATTTTTAGGTCGACAATTTTTAAAGATTAAACATGCATCTACTGACCAAGTTTGATGATCGTAGGTCTGAAGGTAATCAAATTATGTGTTTTGAAAAATTTGAAAACAAATGTCAACAAAATTCAAAAAGTAGGTCATAGTGACCCACTTTTTCATTAATATGTTTTAAGGTCCCAAGATGCATCAAAGACAAGATTTGATTATTCTAAACCTCCCTGTGTCTGAAATAATGGGATTTAATGTCTTTAAAGGATATGTCATTAAGTTCAAAAAGTAGGTCACGGTGACCTACTTTTTAAGCTGACGTTGTTTGAGGACCCAAGAAGCATAAACTGACAAAGTTTGATGATCATAGGCCTTAAAGTGTCCAAAATATGCCTTCAAATCAATTTGAAAATAAATCCCTGCAAAATTTAAAAAGTAAGTAGCTGTGACCAACTTTTGAGTTAACATGATGTGGAGTCGTAAGATGCATCAACTTACAAGATTTGATGATCCTAGTCCTTATGGTAGGCAAAATATACACATTTTTATTAATTGTAAATTTAGGTCAACTTTGAAGTGACCTTGAAACCACGCCCTTTGCCCCAGGGTAATTCCCCGTACAAATTTTAATCTTCAACATATCCTGATCCTTGTATGTACGTTTGGTGAAAATCTGCCTATTGGTTAGGGAGAAGAGAAGAAGATTTTTTAGCAACCAGTACTTTTGGTTTTGTTTTCCTGATTTTCTCCTCTTGTTTAAGGGTACTAACCCTTATTTTAGTAGAAAGGATAGCCCTTGGGCCAAGGATACCCTGCAAAAAATTTGGTGCTGATTGGCCAAGGGGTCCTTGAGTTATGGCCCATATTCTAAAAAGTTTATACAGCCTTTGGCTAAGAAGAGCTTTAAAAAAAAGTATTTTTTTACTATTTTGTAGTTTTATCTCGAACAAAAAATTAACTAGAACTGTCCATTAGGGACAAATACCCCCCGCTGGGTTTTTCAGAGAAGGTGCCAATTCAAAAATACTTTATGGATCTAGAGGTGTTCACAATTTACTTACAAAAATTTGCAGTGAAATACAATTGCTCATCATATTTCTTAATGAATGAAACAAAGGTGCAACCAAATGAAACATCAAAACTAATACATTGTAATTCCATTGTAACATTTTGTTTTAATTTTTTCATTTTATTTTTTTTTATTACTGCATTAAAAAAATATATTGCAATTATGTATTATGTAACTCTGCAAACTGATTGTTGGAAAAAAAACCATTATACAAAATCAAATTAATCTTGATATATCAATTTGAAATGCATTTTGAAAATAAAGAGCTGATCATCCAGTAATGAAGTGCTTTGACAGACAATAAATTACAATTAAGAGAATAAGAGAAGAGAGATCTTTAATTCTTGTGCCTTATTCCCTGGAGATAGATAACACACACACTTGATAAGAGATATGCCTTAACAACTTCCAACACCAAACTCATTAATTTATCTTTAACTGGATGCATGTCCAGTCATTATTCCCAAGAGATAAATAAAATTACATTATCTTCTGTGCAATGTAAAAACTGTTTTTAACACTTTATGATGTTTCTTTTTTTACGTTTTTATGAGTAGTTTTAAGCTGTAGTATTTTTCAACAGATATTCTAGATTCTATATCTCAAACCTTATACATGAACCCAAAATGAACAAGTCAATTAAAATAAAAAATAAAACCTGTAAAATGCAAAAAAATTAACAAAAAGAGTTGAAAATTCCAGGTGCACACCTTCATATGGTGAATAATAAGTGTACAAATTTTCAGATTAATCCTTGCAATAGTTTCTGAGAAACGGTCCAGACAAAACCACAAAATAAAAATGAAAAAACACCTGTAAAATTCAAAATAATAATCCAATCAAGATGAAAATATCAGGTGCACAACTTCATATGGTGAATAATATGTGTACAAATTTTCAGACAAATCCTTCCAATAGTTTCTGAGTAATGGTCCGGACAAAATCTCGTCTACAGACAGACAGACAGACGGACAGACGGACATGGTGATTCCAATATACCCCCCCTAAACTTCGTTTGCGGGGGGTATAAAAAAACTTATTGTAAACTATTCATGTATAATATACAATGTAAATGCATTTGGATAAAAGCTGCTCCTATATGTATATTTATCAATCAATGCAAGAATTTATTAATTTTCATATATTTTAATTAACTGCAATAAATTACCTCAAAAAGCTATGATAACTGCTAAAATAAGTACGTAACAATACAACATTCTTCTAATCCTTACCTTTATCTACTCGTTTTATCTTGTACTTTTTCTTATAATTATTTTTCTCATACTCCTCCATCTTTTTAAAGTCAATAACATATTCAGTTCCTCTGTTGTCTTTAACGGTACAGGAATCCTTTCTGGCCTGGTGCGCATTCTCTATCTGCAAGTTGACATCGTCTCTAAACGTTGACCATTTATCAGTTGAGACTTCATACTGCCATTTTACGTATTTCTGGACTGTTTTAGCACTCTCTTTGTCCTTGACCTCATGTAGATATTGATAAATAGCTACAGCTGCTTCATTTACATTTGCTGTTGTTCCCTGCAGTTCAATTTTTCCTTCTTTGACTATGATTTTAGTGTCTTTTGCGAGTCTTTTAATTTCGTCAATCTACAAAACAATTCTTCTGGTTTAATAATTTAAAACAACTCCTCTTTTGTAATACTTTTGGCAATTTCCTCTACCAATACATACAGTATTGCTAAGTTTTATTTTTATTCAAGACTATTCACTTAAACAATAAAATGCTTTCTTTGTTTGTTATTACTGGAATTAATGGAAGCAGCTGTTGCAGAAAAAATACATAACCCGCATAAGCCGGTTATGTAAATTTTTTCTGCAATTATAACTCCGACCGTTTTCCAGTAATAACAAACAAAGAAAGACATTTTATTGTTTATATTTATATCTGTTTAAATAATCATTTAAAGAAGGATTAAAAAGTTTAATGTATTAATGATACGTCTTTATATGTTTCATTGATGGAACGGCCACTGATCAAGAAATCTGTACAGGTGACATGCCTAATGTAGTTCATGCAGTGATTAACGCAATGGGTTTTCTTAAGAAATAAAGGAGAAAATATTTGGTGGATGTGAATATTATATAATAATGTTGAATTCATGCAATTCTTAAAACATATTTGACTCCAAACTATAATTGCACGATCATTTTCTCAAACATTAATATTTTGTAAAATTCAAAAGCTTTGATTTTGTTCTTTTAAGTGTTGTTATAATAAATTTGCATAGAAGACATGTTAACACATATATTAAGACAAGTAGCATATTGTTTTGCTGATTATCTGCCCTTACCTGGCTATTACTAAATGTGTATTTTGACACATCAATTTCTTTCCTTTCAAATTCACTCTTAAGTATTCTTTCCAAGTTAATTTTGGCTTTATTGATGTTTTCTTTACAGTTAGAGAGAATCAGGAAAGTAATCCTTTCATCATTGTGACCTTGACCATGTCCTTGACCTCTATATCCATGGCCATGATTGTTATGTCCACGCCATGGTCTGCTAGTATTATTATCATCTTCTTCCTCATCTGACCCAATGACATCTTAAAAAAAATTGATACATGTACCAGTTATTCAAAAAATGATATACTTATTGCCAAAGCAGTTTCTATTATTATATACATGTATATATTGAATATAATTAAAAGTGTAACCTGTCTCATATGGCATGCTTTGGTGAATTTTCTTTAAAGTAACAGAGTGTCAGATTACACAGTGTAAACAAAAAGCATGGAAAATAGTAAAATTACAAGGAAAATAAAGGTCAGAATTCACAGAGAAATGGATTGCACATATGTCAATTTAGACAGGTTTCTCTGTATTTCTTGCTATAAAAATAAGCATTTCTGTCCTGACACGCAAAAGAAACGTAAAAAGCAGTAATCTAAAAATGTTTGCTTCTTTTATCTTATGATTTTCAAAAGCGAATAAAGTAAGGCTACACTCACTCTTCAGAACATCAGAGATTTGATAAAAATGTTAAATGTTTATCTGTTTACTTTACTAAGTAAAATATGACTGTTAAAACACCCCCCTCCCAGCCATTCAAGTAAAACGTGCAAGACTGCCTTAAACAACAATTGCTGCTCAATCTCTACAATACAATAGGTTCAATAATATCGAGATCTGAGCGAAGGAATTATTCTTTGCCATTTTAAATGCCCCTTTTTCAGATGATTAGGTCTAATTTTCTCTAACTTAGAGCAGTGTAGCCACCCTTGGACTTCCGGTACAATGACTGTCCTTAATGCATATGATACGCAAGACCCATTTGAGGTGTAATGTAGTGAAATTTCGCATCAGCAACTCTCCATCACTTTTACATTGAAATTTTCCAGCTAGAGCAATGGAAATGCGTACATAAGCCATTTTCAAGTAGCCTTAGCATCGTAACGGGAAAGGAAAGGAGAGTTTATTTTTTGAAATATTGCCACATTACTTATGATGAACAGTAAAAAAACCCTTTAAACTCCATAATATTGCCAAATGTTTTGTTAAACATGCATTTTTTGATTTCTGTTAAGCAGACTGAAACTTGACTTCCGGTTATTGGATGGAAATTGTTCAACCGTTAAATTACTAATGTTTACCAAATTGAAGATATTCTTATTTTTTAGATACAAAATTCTTTACTTTACATAATTATTTCCCCTAAAGTAAGGTGTTGCCTTTCTTCTGCGTGTCAGTATAATTAAACAGAATAACTTTTCATAATGTTTCTCTAAAAAATATATTTTGCCTTTTGCTTTTATTTTATACAATCTTTTTCCTATAACATTTAATATCTTTAAATCTTGTGATACCTTTGATTTTTCCAGTGACATAATCCTTCAACTGTGTGAAAGCTCCTTGGGGGAGATTATCCAGTGAGGACTGGAATACTGACACCATGTCTCTCTGGAAAACAATCACCCGCACTGTCTCCAGATTCTCTGGTGAAAACTTCCTCATGGCTTTAAACATGTGTTTGGCAATATCTGCAGGATCACTGTTTCTCACTCCTGGAAAAAATAGAGGTTACAGTAGATTGTCACAGTGGTGTAGCATCTCAATGTAGTTGAAACGGGACAGGAGAAGACCTGGATTCAAACCCAGGCCCCTAAATCTGTATATCCCTAGAAATTTCCTGCTTTTATCAGTGACTCTTAAATGAAGGATGCAAGATAGACTCTCTCTCTCTCTCACCTGTTCCTAGAGCTGGGAAGGATATGGACCTACACCCTGTCTTATCAGCATGAGCCAGTGCCTTGGCCACCATCCGCTCCCATTCCTCAGCTGATCTTTGAGCCTTCACATGAATGATGTACTTACAACCCATCCTCCCTCCTGAGGTAACAACATAGCCTTCTGATGAGAAAGACTGGGCTACAACACAAAACACCCCATTCCTGTTTATCTATGGTACACTTAGTACTCAACTTAAATTATAACTATATATATAATCTTGCCCAATGTAAAAAAAAAATATGTTGCTTTAAACATAATAGAAAAAAAAACTTATGTGCTAAGGATATATTTTGCAAAACAAAATGACAATATGGTAACACTTAACCAGATATCTTCTGTTTATTTATATTTTTTTTTTTGGAGGGGGGGGGAGGAAGGTTACAGCCTATATCTCTCACAATTAAGAGACAAAGAAAGTACCAAGAATTCTAAACTTTTCAAAGCAATCTAATCTATAAAACCTTTTTTTTAATACTGCATTTGATAATAGATTATTCAGTCTACATGTCAGTGCATACAGCTTAAGACTTGTACAAACCAGTAGACAGAAGATGCTTGCTTCTCCAAGGCACCCGATCCCATCTCTGAATTTTTCAGATGTTATGTTTTATGCACTGCTCACTGATTTGCATTGTTTATAGGTTATTTTGAGATATGTCACTTATTTTATAATCACTTTTCGTTGTTGTTTATCTTGACCCTGAAGACTTCAAAAATATTTCTTGAAAGTATAAATAATAGTGTGGCTTATGCTTTATACATACCTCCCCTGTTACATTCAGTCAGTATTCTGTCTCCAGCTGCATTTAGAATGGCTTTAGAGGCAGCACCTACAAAATACTCAGAGACATAATTATACAATCATCTCGAAACAGATGGGTGGGAGCTTTCTGGTTTTCACTTTGCTATACTGTTTATTACTTATTTCACATTAGTATTTAATATCATGAAATGGGTTTTAGATGTCAAATTGTGAAAACAATAATTGACAAATGTATGGTTAATCTAGAGATTTTACACTGAATTCAGAAAAAATAAACCTATAAGATACTTTATTTTGCCAGTGGTGCTTCACATGAAATAACACAATAATTATATCCTCATATACATAAAGAATCTACAAAGAGTTTTTATGAAATGAGTCTGACTCAAACATAGATAAATCACATACCTTTAGTTAAATCCAGACTTCCTGTTATACTGTTAACAATGGCGTCAGTTCTCTCCTTAGTTATGTCCCCTTGTCTGACCTCTACGTTCAGTTTATTTATTTTCCTCCTTCCATCACCACTCCCTGCATCTAAAAGTAAACATGATTCTTCATTTAATTAAATGTCTTCCACTGAGACTTTTTTCATTACATAAACCAGTTTTTAAGTAAAATCTTTTTCAATTCATTATAATTCACCGGAGGATGGCATTCTCTCTCTCCTGTGTCTGTTGTAGTCAGGACGACCTGTCTCCGCACCTCCACTTTCACTTTCTTTTCTGAATGCCTGATTCAAAAGCAATTTAACCATTAAATTTCATGCTAACATACATGTAAATAATATGTTTTAATCAATCCTGTTGTACAAAGGAAATACCGGTACTTTAAGCCAAACACTTGGATGTTGAAGATGTTGTAAAAGTTGTTGTTTACCTCAAGAATGTCTGCGTCTTTGTAGAAAATCACAAATAATATTTCCTTCAGACTGGTGTCTCTATTTCTACTGTGGAATTCTCTACAACATCTGAACATGGTCTTGGCAGCTTGTTCTGGTGGATAGCCCAGTCTGCCTGTACCTAGGGCGGGGAAGGCAATAGAACTCATCTGGTTCATGTCTGCTAGTCTTAAACATTCGTTTACAAAATCTGTTAACTTCTGAAAAATATGGAAAAAAAGTCTTGATGTAGGTCCTGCCTATCTAGAAAAAATATATATGCATACATGTATAAATTCTTCTTTGTTACCTTACAAAGCAAAAATGTAAATGTATTACAAGACATTATACAAGAAAGTAATTTCACTTCACAAATCTGTGATAACAAAAAATATGTTTTTAAAAAAGTACATGTATTTCTGATGTTTTCAGAACTCAAAGTTGATAAAACAATAATTTAAATGTGATTTATCAAATAGTTTTGATAACAACGTAATTTATTTTTATTAAAATACTAATCAAAACTGTGAATAACATATCTTCACATTTTTCATTTACTTTGAAGTCGAAAATTCAATAATTGCTGAGTCTAGCCAAATTTCACCGGGAGCAAATTAATATTTTTCCAGAAGTAAACAGTGGATGATGCGTACCGAGTCACAATACTACCCAGGAGAGTACTTTGTTTACTAGTGTGATTTACAATTACAAAATTTTCAAAAATTGTTGTATAGCGAAGTATTGATCCCCAGCTATATAAATTTAATGAATTTGTTATACTGTTATAACGAATTACGGATATAACGAAGTAATTTTATAGGTCCCAGCGACTTCGTTATAACCGAGTTTTGCTGTAATATTTTTAGTTTTAAATTTAATTTCAAAATGCTTCATTAATTTGAGTTAAAAAAGTTCATATCCCTTTCTTCAGTTTGATACAGATCCAATGTTTGTATTTCAATCAAAACAATTTCTGCACTCTTTCATATAGTGTAGATTTATTTCATGTGTTCTCTCCACGGCTTCTGAAAAAAGTATAAAGTTCTGACATGTCAAAAAAATGTATTTAAAGACAATATTTTACTTAACTGCTCTTATTTAAGACAATAATAAGACAAACCAATTAATTATAAGTCACCATACTCACCCCTAGAGCATCCCCTTTCCAATGGTCCCATCTTTTGATCGTCCCATGATACACTTGTCTACACCTGAGGTCGCCTCCCTTTGTAATGGCTACCTTTCCTGGCGCTATTCCATCTTTGTACTTTGTATCACATTCGTCTTGGAGAGATTCACCAGCAGCTCTGCTCAAACTCTTGGATATGTTACCAATGGACAGAATTAATTTCAAACTACACAATACAAATGTGTTACTCTGAACAAAAGACAATTGGTATCTCCATTCTATATTTTTCTGTTTACAAATTAAATGCTCAGTTGGGTTATATTTTTTCATAAATAACTGAAAATACATTGACTATTGCATGTAGAACATTATTTTGGCCCCGTCTTTCTTTTTTCAGCCCTTTGAACACCCACAGAGAACAACGCATTTTGTAAACAATCGGGACAACTAAAAGAAGCCATAATTTTTATATAACACAATACAAATGTGTTACTCCAAGATTGCAGTGCTGTAAAAGACAACTTGTCTGACTCCGTATTTTTTCTATATATCGTTTTTCTACTGTTTACAAAATGCATTTTCTATGAAACCTGAACATTTTTTACACATTTTTATGACTGGTTAAAGCGACATAAGAAATGTATTGAGTTTAATGGTGACTATGTTGAGAAAGTTACATGGACTTGTATTATGCTTTTGATGTCGGGTAATGGCAAGAATTTCCATTTTGGTGCTCCTGGTATGAGTCTTTGTCATTTTTTAATCAGATAAAAATATAACTATTCGTGCTTTGTTTTTGTTAAAAACTTGCATGTTTATAAAATTTAATAAAAATAATAACATAATTAAAGTAATTAAAGACAGCATGAACGCTAACAAATTTAAAATAAACAAATTAATGAAAGACAGCATGAACTCACATGGTAAACAGATAATTTATAACCCACCTTCATTTTAGCCAACTCTCCACTGATAACTTTTATCTTCATCCCCTTCTCTCTATCACCTGATGACTTTCTCCCCTTCTTTCTATCAAATGATGAAGAGCTCCTCCTTTTCCCATGAGCCTCCTCATCGGAATCTTCATCTCTAGATGGTGATTGGTTACCTAAAAATAACACATAAAAAAGCTAACAAACAGTTCTAAAACAAGACATATATGTACCAGATTTTGAAAAAGTCAACTTATTTATGGTAACTTTATATAAATAAATAATTTTCAAAAAAAATTATTGAACATGATGAAATGGTGTAATACACAAATTTGCAAACTACATTTAAAATTTACTTGTAAGTTAAAGATAACTGGCTCAACAGGACACAGAGTGTACTGGGGTAATTTATTCCTGTTAATGGCTTTTTCAAAATATCTATTTTGTTTTTGACCAACCTTCACCTCCATCAAATTCTTTCACGTCCTGTCCAATCTTCCTCTTCAAACATCTGATAAATGCGTCTACGATCTTATCGTCCACATCACAGAAATAGATCTCCTTTATCTTGGAGGACTTTCCCTCCTTGGATTTGAAGTAAAACTGAATAGAACTGACAATAGTGTCAACAGATTGATCCACGGGATACCCAAAAATACCAGCACTGAGTGCAGGGATGGCTATGGAGGAGTAATCATTCCTGTCTGTTAGTTCCAAACATTTCATTATGGCTTGTCTGAGTTTTATTTCCTCTTCGTTATTTCCACCTTGCCATTGTGGTCCAACAGCGTGGATTAACATTTGACAGGGCAGAAAACCAGGTCTTGCTGGGATGGCCCCTCCATCGGAAACAGTTCCATTAGATTTGATGTAGTCTTTGCTTTCTTTCTGTACTGAATCACCTCCTATAGTCAAAATAAAGATTGACAAAATTAAAAAAGTACATATGGAAAACACTGACTGAAAAAAATATTTAGCCTAACAATTCCAGGAGGTTTTTTCATTGGATTTAACAAAGATTTTAAAAATAAGGGAGATAAGAGAAGGTCTGGCTGCTTTTGTCAAAGGATTCACTTCAAACACTTCTTATATAAAGATGTGATTTTTTATGTGCCTGGATCTATAGATTGATAGATAGATTGATATTGTTTTTGTCCTCTCTGTCTGTTTATCTGTTCATCTGTCTGTTGTCAACTTTAACCTTCGCTATAACTTTTGACCCATAGAAGAAAGAGACTTCATATTTGGTATGCATGCTCCACTAATTAATTTTTGTCAAATGACACCAAAATCAATGACCTTGTGACCTTGACTGTGACTTATATGCTAAAAATAGCTTTTTCAAACTTTCACCATAACTTTTGAACCATAGGAGATAGAGACTTCATATTTTGTATGCATACTCCACTAATTAAGTTCTTTCCAATGACATCAAGGTCAATGACCTTGTGAAAGGTAAATGACCTTGTGACCTTGACTGTGACCTACATGCTGAAAATAGCTTTTTTTTAACTTTGTTGCTGCTGGGTGCATAGTGTTTCACAAACACAATTTTTTTTTTATATTTTTAATTGGCTTGTAAATGAAAAATGTTCTTCTTTTTTCAAAAAAAAAAATTCTAACCTGCTTTAGAAATGGCCAGAGCCAGACCCCCACAGTGATCTAAATCTCCATTGGCCGCATTCACAATGACATCAACTTTCAACTTGGTTACATCCCCTTTCATAACAATCAACTTTTTCTCACTGATATGTAAATCACATTCAGCCATCTTGACTGGAAACTTTGACCTTGACCTTGCACCATGCCTTTCAAATGACCCACTTCCTCTCTCTTCTTTCTTATGTCTCCCTCCTTCTTTGTTCATTATAATACAGGAAGTGGCTTTGCCTGTTCTTTTAATGGCTTCCCGTCCTTTGTCTGAGTTGAAGAAGGCCTTCGCTCCAGGTTTGGTTATACTGTAGGTGTCTTCACTTAGTCTGTTAACCAACTTCATCAACTCTTCCTTGGCTTTTTTGACATCTTCATCATTCCCACTGATGTCTATAGAATGGTCCTCTTGATTTCTGGTAATTTTTAAATCTTTCTCTTTGGCTTCTTCTGTCAACTTCTTCATCTCTTTGTCTCCAAAATATTTCACGTAATTAAACTGTGCTTCTGTCAATCTGACATGCTTTTTATCAACAGCACATTTTTTGGAACATTCCTCCAAAACCTGTTCTACTTCTGTACATACAGGCTGAAAAATATCTTTTGTGGAAGTGACATGTACTTCAGAAGCAGACGACAAAATACACATTTTATCACCATGTGTATCTCTCAACTTCTTGACACAAGCCTGCCATTCATGTCTAGTCAAAACTTTCACTAACTGTTTTACTTTTATTGCTTTCTCTGGTATGAATTCTTCAAAAACTTTCAAGGCCTCTTCCACCATTTTCATGTTTGATGATGTCATTTCCACTTTGTCTTCTGTAACATTCCATACAGCCTTGTTGTTTTTTGCTTTCATTTCTGCAAGAAACGAATCTCTCACATCCTTGGATTTTAACACTTCATGTCTTCCTTTGGATATCCTTAAAGACTTTGATTTTGTATTCATCAAATATTCATGCATTTTTATCATGGCCTCATTCACTTCACTAGATTTCCCTGAAAAGTTTACTTCTTTTTTATCAATCTCAATATTCATATCAACATTTGGAAATTGTGCCTTAATCTTCTTCTGATACTGTGTTTTCCATAGTTGCTGGCATTTGTGAAAATCTAAAGGAACTTTTTTCTCAATCTTCTCTTTCTGGGTTTTTATTTTCAATTCCTCTGTCCTTACTATATCTAGGATTTTTCTCGTCAAGGCCTCTGCATTTTCCTCTAATCCAACAACAACTACTATATGTTGTTTGGCTTCCAATGAAACAGCTACTTTTTCTGGGTGATCAATATTTAGCATTTTTAGCTTTTCCAGAAAATTCTCCCATGCTTCTGGTAAAATCGAGTGTTTTTGAACTGCATATTTGCCCACCAAGCTTTCCATGCTTTTCTCGGCTTCTTCTTTCCATTTTTTCAGAATACCTCTGGCATTTTCCACCTCTTTAGTTACTGAGCATAACAGCTTCACATTAAAGTCTGATTTGGATTTCGGCCATTCAACTTTTACAAATTTCTGCTGCATTGTCTTGTCAATTTCCTTGGCTACAATCTCACAATTCTTGACAAATTTTATGAAGTGCTTTTCACAAGGATAAATAATGGAGGGCAAGTCACCCCAGTTAATTGGTTGTTCTGGCAACCCTAGTTGAGAATACAACATTTGAACTCTTATTTCTTTTCCATTTATTGTAAACTTTTCTCTTGATGCCACATTCTCAGCATCTGTAATAAAACAGAAATGAATTCATGAAAAAACAATTGTCAATGAATAATATACTTGTCATTTAGCATCAAATGACCTCTTACCCACAATGCTCACCTAAGTTACCTTAAAATATGTTATTATCAAGAAAGATTTTTTCCTACATGTACATATTTACAAGAAAAATATTGAGATTTGAGCCTTTTCTTCTAAGAGTTTGTACCTGTATACTTTTTTCCTAACACCACCAATATCTTTATCAATGGTACATAATTTTTAAAAAAAGATTTCTGAATACTTGGTTACACTTACATATTACTATGATTTATGCATGTAAATATAGCCCTAAACCTAGAAAGATATGTTAATGTATATACTGATCTGCTATATATTTGGAAAAAAAGTGGGGGGGGGAGAGTGAGCCCTACCTCCGTATAATAGTTCCAATGCCTATGATGATTAAATATAGCTCTGAATCTCTAGAAAAGAATTCCATATAATTTAATGTGTAACACTGATCTGCTATTGTGGCCCCACTCTAGAGATTTTAATGTAAACAAACTTGTACCTGACTTACCAAGGATGCTTCCATATGAATAAAACTTACAAATGCCCTTCACTGTTCTAGAAATGAATTTTAAACACCCCCATTCCCTTGTAAAACTCAGATACATGAACTTTATTGTCACCCCTCTCTATCCTCATTGGACCATGATTTGAAAAGTAATTTAAGTTTGGAATCTTCATTATGTCAAGAGAATTCCAGATAAGTTTTGACTTTTAATTTCCCCATAGAAGGAGTTGTGATTCTTCATTTTGAAGAAACTTGAATATTCCCTTTACCAAATGATGCAAGTTTACTTTGCTAATGGTTCTAAGAAAATGATGATATTGTGAAAAAGGCTAATGACAGACAAATTTTAATCAGCCTTTGGCTCAGGTGAACTAATAATGTAATAATTTAAGAACATGCAAGCACCTTCTGGATTTTCAAACAGAACCACACAGTATCCATCTTCTGGATGGTAATCCACCTCCTCCACCTCTCCACCCCCACTCCTTCTCTTGTTACAAAAGAAATTCTCCACCGTGTCATATGTGATGCTTTCATCAATGTCTTGAGCATACACTGATCTGCATTTCTCCACCATTTGTATAAAGACTGTTTTGCCCTCAAGTTTTTTGGACTTGCAGCGTTTTGACATCTTTGAAAAATCTGTTGTAAAAAAAAAAGGTAAAGCATAGCAATTTAACTTAGGTGACCTAGTGAAAAAACAACAGTTGGACATACATCAATGCTACAAATGTTACAGTAACATAAGAAATTGTTACTTCAAATACTATTAAATTTCTGTCTAACAAACATGTAAGAACAACAGTATCTCAAATGGAAATGTCAAAGTCAGATGGAAGTCCTAATCATTTAATTTATTAACTTTGTGCAGTTTTACAACAAAATTTTGAATCCTAAGATATCTTTAAGTTTCACTTGATCAAAACGAAGTTAAAGATAACAGGGTTTGACTACATATCACCATAATTCAATTTACCTGGTTTCTCATCAAATACTACTATAGCTGAATCTGGTTCAGATCCTCGCACCACCTCTAACGGATCCACCCCAGCAACTGGCTCCAAATAATTCATCAGTGTGTCGTCAGTTGTCTCTGGGTTGAGTCTGCTCACCAGAACTTTATTAATCTCCCACTTTTCAGGGTCGTTTTCATCGTATTTTTCTACTGTTAAATTCTGTCCACTTATTGTGTGTTTTCTCTCCAAGCAGGACTTTGCATCTGATTAAATAAATAAAATTCAATTACATTGGGAGACTGTGAGACAAAAACTGACCTTTCACATTTTACCTCAAAATCAATAATTTAAATTTGTTCTTTAGTTATATTCTTCACCTTATGTTTCATTGCAAAAAAAGAACAAAATGCACTATCTGGACACCATTTTAATGCAAAATTTGAATTTTTACTGCTACAGTAGTTTCTGACCTTTTGACCTAAAAATCAATAGGCATAAAATTGGGATTTATCTAAAGAAAACTAGATTTACTGTGTTCAAAATTGAATGCAAGCATATATGTAAGGAACAATTCTGATTTTAAATTCTTAAATTTATATACCATGTTCATATTAAAGTACTAATTGGTACTTCCTGTGAATACATACATGTATACACATTTCCCTCTTATAAAAGTAAAAAAAAGAACTTCAGAGTACATTTTTATGAATAAAATTACCACTAGATTGTCTAAATGTGATCAAAGCTTCAATGATTTGTTCGTCCTCTTCCTTAATGACTTTAAAAGACTCGATATCTCCTCCCCCAGATTTCCTTGTATTCTCAAAATAGTTCTCTATGGCATCCTGTGACATTGGCTTCCTTAATCTTACTTTGACTGTGTCAAATGATGTTTCTAGTTAAAACAAAATTAAATTAGCAAAACGTGTCCTTTTAAACTAGGAAATCAAATTTCCTTGAAGGTTATGCATAAAGAGGTTGGTACAAATAGCAGAGATTGTGGACTGAGAATTCCAACACCGAATGATTTATTAATTAGTAAAAGACATGGAAATAGAGAGAAAGTTCCATTTTAATTATATATCATCATTTCCTATTATAAATAGATACAAATACCTTTTTAACCAGAAGTCTCTGTCGAGACTGTAGCTCTACTGGTTTATACTTAAAACAAAGGAAGAGAAAAGTAGCAGTTGGGACTTGAGACTTTAAATCAGCAATAAATAGAACAAGATGTGTTTGTGAAACACTATGCGCCCGGCATCAACAAAAAGCTATTTTTAGTATATAGGTCACAGTCAAGGTCACAAGGTCATTGACCTTGGTGTTTTTTGTAAGAACTTAATTAGTGGAGTATGCATACTAAATATGAAGTCCCTATCTCCTATGGTTCAAAAGTTATGGCAAAAAGTGGAAAAAGCTATTTTTAGCATATAGGTCACAGTCAAGGTCACATGGTAATTGACCTTGGTGTTGTTTGAAAGAACTTTATTAGTGGAGTATGCATACTAAATATGAAGTCCCTATCTCCTATGGTTCAAATGTTATAACAAACAGTGGAAAAAGCTATTTTTAGCATATACCGTAGGTCACAGTCAAGGTCACAAGGTCATTGACCTTGATGTCATTTGAAGGAACTTTATTAGTGGAGTATGCATACTAAATATGAAGTTTCTATCTCTTATGGTTCAAAAGTTATGACAAACAGTTGAAAAAGCTATTTTTAGCATATAGGTCACAGTCAAGGTCACAAGGTCATTGACCTTGATGTCATTTGAAAAAACTTTATTAGTGGAGTATGCATACCAAATATGAAGTCTCTATCTCTTATGGTTCAAAAGTTATGACAAAAAGTAGGAAAAGGTATTTTTAGCATATAGGTCACAGTCAAGGTCACAAGGTCATTGACCTTGATGTCATTTGAAAAAAACTTTATTAGTGGAGTATGCATACCAAATATGAAGTCTCTATCTCTTATGGTTCAAAAGTTATGACAAACAGTTGAAAAAGCTATTTTTAGCATATAGGTCACAGTCAAGGTCACAAGGTCATTGACCTTGATGTCATTTGAAAGAACTTTATTAGAAGAGTATGCATACCAAATATGAAGTCTCTACCTCTTATGGTTCAAAAGTTTTGGCGAAGGTTAAAGTTGACAACAGACTAGACAAACAGACAGGACAAAAACAATATGCGCCCCCAAAAAATTCGGGCGCATAAAAATGACCCTTGCCACTCATCAAAATAAAAACCGATGCACAGAATTATGTATCTTAGTATAGTCTACTTGTGTGCCAAGTTATATTGAAATCGAACTAAAACTGTAGGAGGAGAAGCATTTTGAAACAATTTCACAAAAATTTCTATTCTTAGTAACCATGGCAACACCATTCATTGAAATCAACAACCAATGCACAGAATTATGTATCTCAATGTAGTCTACTTGTGTGCCAAGTTATATTAAAATTGGACTAAAACTATACGAGGAGTGGCATTTTGAAACAATTTCACAAAAATTTCTATTTTTAGCAACCACGGCAACACTGTTTATTGAAATCAAAAACTGATGCACAGAATTATGTATCTTAGTGTAGTCTACTTGTGTGCCAAGTTATATTGAAATCGAACCAAAACTATATGAGGAGAAGCATTTTGAAAGCATTTCACAGAAATTTCTATTTTTAGTAACCATGGCAACACCGTTCATCGAAATCAAAAACCGATGCACAGAATTATGTATCTTAGTGTAGTCTACTTGTGTGCCAAGTTATATCGAAATAGGACAAAAATTATAGGAGGAGTAGCATTTTTAAACAATTTCACAAAAATTTCTATTTTTAGTAACCTTGGCAACACCGTTCATCGAAATCAAAAACCGATGCACAGAATTATGTATCTTAGTGTAGTCTACTTGTGTGCCAAGTTATATTGAAATTGGACCAAAACTATAGGAGGAGTAGCATTTTGAAAAATTGTTTACAGACAGACAGACGGACGGACGACAGATGCATTACTCTCGCATAATCTCTTCTGGTCTCTGACCAGTAGAGCTAAAAATGACTAATTTTCATAAAATTACCAAAATTATTGTAAAAAAAAAATATAGCATGGTAGGTAAAATTTCTAGTAAGAATTAAACTACTAGTAATGCTGAACTATAAATTTTGCAATGATACGCATTTTAAATGGCAGATTAGTACTGTATACAGATTTATTTTCACCCTGTGTTATTTTCGCCCTTTCGCACCTGCAAACAATTTTGCCCCATTTTAAATTTGCCCCATCATAGTTATGGTTAAGAAATTATACTGTTTTCTTTCAATTGCCCCATTTTAAATTCGCCCAAATGAAGGTAGGGCAAAGGGGGCAAAAATAAAATGAGGGGGAAAATTTCCCTATATACAGTATTATACCCTCTTCAGTTTCTTCCTCCTCCTCCTGTGCAGGTGCCCTTTCCTCTGATCCACCTGACAAGGGTCTCTCTGTGCTCTCTACTTTCACTTTACCCCTCCTGTCTGGAGATTGTTTCTCTACTTTCTCTTTACTTCTCCTCCTGGTGGATGGTTGCTTCTCCCCCTCTGTAGAAGGTGGAGGTAACTCTGGTTCTGGCATTGGAATTCTTTCTAAAATGGGTTTAATTATGTTATACATGCAGTGAAATTTCTCTTATCTGGATTTTGTGTATTCTGAAATCTTGCATAATACAGCATTATTGAAGTCCCTTTCAGTAAATTCATTTGTTAAAGATTGTGTCGAATCCTGAATGTTCTATAATCTAGTAAATATCTATGGAACATATGGTGTACAAATTATACAAGTTTAACTGCATAACAAAAATCTGATACACAATACATTTCTCCTCTAGGTTTGTCTCTACAAGAATTAAATGAAGCTAAAACATACCTTCAGTAGGTGGGACCATATTTTCTTGTGCTGGCAGCTGCTGAAAAGGGAAAAAAGGTGGTCGAAAACCTTGATACATAAATGGCAGAAAGCCTTGAATTGGCTGGTTGGGTGTTTGTGGTCCCATCATAAATCCTGGTGGCATGGCACCATGTTGATTTTGTGGACTCATCATACCATGATGTTGATTCATCATACCTTGATATTGATTTTGTTGATTCATCATGCTATTAGGTTGTTCTGGTGGCATGACACCAAGTTGGTGTTGTGGATTCATCATACTACCAACTTGTCCTTGTGCTGCAGTCATAAAACCTGGAGTTGGACCTTGCTCCAACCTTCTGAACAATTCAACATTCTGATATAATGCATCACTACTTTCTGTTTCTCTATTTCTTGGTGTCTGATTTTCTATTCCTTGGGCTCTCTCTGTCTGTAAACCTGCTGTCTGATTTATTTCTCTTGGACCACCTGACTCTTGGTTTGGTGTTCTTTGATAACCAGGCTCTTGGTGTCTTACAATAGGACTCCCAGAGTCTCTGTGCATTACTCTCTGGTCAAGCTGCCCTTGCTGTGCCTGACTACCTTGTATCCTCTGATCATTTAACACAGGTGAGGTCACCTGATCAGTGTTACTAGAGTCTCTGCCAAAACTAGGCACATGTTCTGTTTTGTTTTCAGCATTATGTGGAAACTTGTTTGAATCTATGTGAGAATTCATTGGAAATCCACTGTTGGGAGTATTTTCTATTGAATTTCTTACAAATGCTTGTGAATGGCCTTGTCCTGATTTTAACCCTGGTTGTGGAATATCAGGCTTGGTTCTTGGTGTAGATTGGACCTGTCCTGTATACACAGGCTCAATGTATGTTGAAGAGGACACTCCGCTGCTGTGAGTTCTGTTTAGTCTCTGAGGCACAGGAGGGGAATCCCCACGATCACCACTTCCTGTTTTCACAATATTATCACCAGAAGCAGCAGACGGAGAATTAACAGGAAATTTACCGGGTGAATTTTCCTGGGAACTTAGCCAAGATCCATGATTATCATTTGACTGCTTTGAATGTACAACTGACTGTAGTTGGTCATAGTGACTCCCATTCCTTGACACCGGTTCAATATAAGTCAAATTGGGCACTTCCCGGCTCTCAGATCTACCAAGTCTATTGGGTAGAGGAGGGGGTTCATCATGACCTAGTTGTGACCTTACTGCAGCCTCATTAATAGATTGATAAGGGCTGTCTTCATCAGCTCTACTCTTGGAAGTAATAGAAATCTTCATATTGACTTCATCTCTGTTCTTTGCTGGTAGAGAGTTATCCGCCCTTGGTGAAGGTGGACGGGGTGTGTAGGTTTGTGTCTCTTCAGTTGATTTTATATTGTCAAACTCCACTTCCTCTGAATATTGTGACTGGAGACTAGAGTAGAGATGGGAATCACCATGGTCTGACTGGTTTAATTGGCTGTATGGAGAACTTATAGCAGGAATGACAAATGTAGGGACATATTTGTCTGTACTTTCTGTTTCTTCTGGCTTTTCTGCTGATATTGGTTTTGGCACTTTTACATAATCATCTACAAATAATGAAAAAAATATGAATTACTCTGACTTTTCAGTAAATAATTTATGAGAAATAAAATTGACACATCTTCAATCATGGGAAATAAATTATTTTTTCTCTTTTTTTCATTTAAATGATCAGTCTATGCAAGTTTTGTCCAATTACATAAAAATGATTCCTAGTTCAAAAATTTATTGAGATGTCATAAAAAAATTTTCATTGAAACTCAACCTTAAAAAGCAATGAGGTTAAATTCAAAAAACACGTTGAGCTTGTAAAAAATACAAGTGGTTTTTATAAATATGATACAATTATTTACATGTATATCATACACTACATTCTTTTCTAACATAGTGAATTGATTAACACTGATTAACAAGCATTTTCTTTATCAGATAAGTCAACATTACAAATTTCTTCTTTATCAGACAAGTATAATACAAAAGGTTATCTAATAATAGTGCATATATGTATGTACATATTATGTGCGTATGTGAGATATATTTATGTGACCTGGGTATGATTAGGTATATAATTTTACATTAGGAAGCACACTTAAGGACATGTGACAATGCAGATACTGTGTTTGGTAGGATGGTTTGAAAAATTTGACTTGCTGGAACTATAAAAGTCTAAAAGCAAACAATGTTCAATAGCAATAAGATAGTCAATGAGTGCAAAAGTGCATGTTGTATAATTAACCAAATTGTCAATTTCATCAAACTTGTTTTAGTACACAGGTGTTTTTTGGTGAGGGAGAGGGGGAGGAATTGAGATAAAAAGCAGTACTAGATTACACCATTATTTAAATCTACAACAACTACCTGAACCTTGCAGCACTGAGTCTCGTGTCACCCCTTCACCTAGTCATGCAAAGTTTACATTTCAAAATTCAAAAAGTTTTAATGATTTTATTAAAGTATCTAATAATTATATTTTTATAGATGCACACTTCATACCAATCTCTCTAATTATGTATTATGCAAGTATTACAGAATGGGAAAGTGTTGACTACTTCTAATTAAGAAATAAAAAACAATAATAAAAAATCAAACAAACTGTGCTTTCTAGGAAGCTTACTTGCTAGACACATAACTACTCAACATGGCTTGATATTTGGTAAGCTATAGGAAGCCAAATTTAACACAGCATAAATCATATAGATAAATACTGGCCTCTACTAAAAAAGATCTATAAATAGCATCTCTTGTAGAGAAATATACAATTTTTTTTAAAAATGGTGAAAGCTATAAATAGAATGTGTCCTCCCACAGCTATGGAAATACTTACCAGGGCTTTTGCTTCGATTTTCTCTACATCTTATACTCGCCATTCCTATACTGTCTTGTAGCCCCTCATCATCAAAAGACAACTGAAAACCCAAAATACATCATTAAATTATAATAATAACTGACCATGTTTTAAAGTGCTAAGTATGTAATTCACCTTATATCAATCCATGACAATTTTCATGATGGAGAAAACATATTCTCTACAAATACAGAGCAAAATAAATGGTTTGAGCAATTTCATATTTGTGTGTAAGAGTAGGTCATGAAACTTGCATAAATTTCTCGTACAAGAATTAAAAGTTCGTTTACAGTATGTCAACCTTCGGGTTTTTTTGAGATCATTGCGTATAGTTTAACACTCACATGGACACTAGCTCTTGTAGGTGTATTCTCCACCCAATCATCTGGAATAATACATTCTGGACAACCTCCAACTGGAAGATCCAACTTCTGTCCACCAGAATCCAAAGTAACATGGCCATCCCTTATCAGTTTGTCTGCCTCTAACAATTGAAAATCTGATGTGATGAAAGACAAATAAATATCCACAGAACCAATTTGTAACTACACTGCCATTTCTGTAACCACAAATAATCTTTTTATCTGTTACATAAAAGGGAGGGCATGATCCAATTTCCACCGAATAATATATATTGAAGTCACAAAGACACATTACACTGTCATTGTTGGGATAGAAAAATATGATGCCACAATTATAAACACTGGAAATGCAGCTAAGTATGTCACACTGGGCTCAGATTCAGGGCAGATTCATTATCCATTGTAGTCCACCTGGCCTTAGTGTTGTGTAGTATACAAAGCATATCAGTGACTAGGAACCAGGCTAGACTTCCACCTTTATGGTCTTTATCCCCCCAGAGACACCAACCCAGGCTCTTCCCTGGCAAGTCTTTCACCTGTCACTTCCAGTTAGAGCAGTCGGCACCCAGTCTAACAGGAGACAAGGAAAATTAGACAGACCAGACCAATATTTGAACCTGTACTCCCTGAATCCCATTTAGTCAGATGCTCTACCTGAGCTTTCACCGGGCTATCAAATGCCATTTGACTGCCATTTTGCATGATGAATTTGATTTGGGCAATAAAAGATTCTATTAATGTCACAGATTTCGGAATTAATTCCTTTCTTGTTTGTCGATTTTTCATATATCTTCAAGTTCCTGGATCGATCCATCTTAATTCTATGGTATATCTAAATCCTCCCTTTCTATCTTAAAATTAACCCCCACCCCCTTTCCACAGAAGTTCATATGATATAAATTATGTACATGCAGACACAGCTTTATTAATATTCAATACACATTTTATAAATCATAAATATAAATTTACCGTCATCGCTTCTCATCAACACAATCCATCTGACTTCTCCATTACCAATACTGAGTTCATTATGGCGGTGGGACTTTTCTACACCACGAATTCTGTGGACACAATCATCCTCCACCCCCTCTGGTACTTGTTTGACCAGAACACACCGTCTGGATAAAGACTCTCTGCTACACATTCTTATTTACTTTTCCCCTTCCATGGATAACAACTTGTTGTTGTCAAAATGTTCTGTACTTGCGCATTTATCAATTCATTGTCTGGAAATCCTTCCCTTCTCTTGCTATAACTTTAAGTGGAAATTTTCTACTTTCGTTTTCATTTATCGTGATGAAATTCATCGGCGGATCTAAATGCATGTACTTGGAGGCGCGACTTCGAACTTCTCTAGATCCAGTTTTAGCACTGCTGATGAAACACTGAAATAACATGTACGCATGTCAGTAATAATTGTTAACAATATATACACACAACGGGAACTGTCCATATGCGCTATTGTTTAATTTTAGAAAATGTGTCTCACTGTCTATTAAATTTCATTCTATTTTAATTATTTTAAAAAGTGATTGAAAATGATTATATTATTAGAACAGACAAATATTATTGAAGGCCTAATTATTATTTAATAAATAAAAAAATCTAAGTGATCAATGGAAGAAAGTTTTATATGATATGGGAGTTTAAAAAAAGGGGGGTGGGTTAAACTTATGACAGGTGGCGGGAACGCGTGAACAATCATTATGGTAAGTGCATGTTATTGTATATGATGAAGAAAATGCGTGTGCTTGCCAGGATAAAATAAATAAATAATAAAGACATGTGTAAGGGACTATAAAATATTTTGCATATGCGTCGGAACTTTTTTTGTTGCAAAGATAGACATAATATAGGCATTGAACATTATAAGGTGTAGGTCCCCATCCACTTTCAATAGGCTCATGGCAGTGTAAAGTCAAAGAAGAGTTGGTGGTAGTAGTGTTTGAAAAAATTGTATATTCGATCCAGACCCCCCCCCCCCCCCACCACCACCACCACCACAACTACAACAACAAAAAGGGCCAATCACGAAAAATCAAGTACGAAAAATTCCAATAGAATTAACAGACGGCAAATACCCCCCACCCCCCCGGATAAGAGAGAGACAGAAATAGTGCATGGCTATTTTAATAGAAAACGTGATCATACTTCTTGCAACAAAGTTAAATCTAATATAAAATGTTAATCCGAAATGTCCGAATTATTTCAGTGGAGATAGATACAATATTAAAGTAAACACATTTTTCAAACTTATTTTTATTAGATTTAAATTTAATATAAAAATAAACCCTTACTTCCTCTGTTAAGAATGAGTTTATCTTTGCCCTCATGCAGTAATTATCAGGAATTTGCAAAAAAAAGGGGGGGCAAACAAATCCCAATCAGTGTGCTCGACCATGACAAGAGTATATAAATAGAATTTGAGCGAGTGAGTGCGTGCAGCTCGAGACGAGTAGCGCAATATCAGAAAACAGGCGATTGACATGATGAGATCCTTAAAAGTTCTGTTGGTCTTACTTTCTCTTTTTTGTGGTAAGTTACTGGAGTAGTCATTCCGTGCTATATAAAACCAGACAACCCAAATAATGCCTTCAATTCACGCAGCAGTTTTGAATTCGAACACGCGTGAAATAAAAGTCGAACCATTCGAACACATGCATATGTAATGCACATGTTTGTTCAAATATAAAGGTGATATAAATAAATAGAGATCTTTGTGGAAATTTTAGTGTCCCTTTCAAGGGAGTTGGACTCTGGGGATGATCTACGTGCTGTTCTCAGAAAACTGGAGAGACTTCTGTCAAGGGAGATCACTGGTACCAACCCCACACCGGGACCAGATGGAGAAACCGATAAAGGACTGTCCGGGGTGTTCAACACGATTCTAGAACCGTACTTCGGTAGCTTTCCAAGTGGAAATTTCCAATTCACGGGTGGGTACAATTTTCAAAAAAATAACATACACATAATCGACTTTCTTTGAGCAACTTTAATTTACGTCTAGTCATTTTTTCATCAGAGCTGTCTTTGACACGTGAAGAGTTTGTGAAAATTGCGAATGAATGGTACACCACCACTCTCTCAAGGGACTCATCAGAGTTACAACAAAAGGCGTTTTCCAACATGACCAGTGTTCTATTGGAGGCCATTTTCAAATGTCCAACAGCAAAAATCAACCAGATGGTTTTCTGTGAGTATAACAGTGAGAACAGCGTCTGCTATGAGCGAATACAATCTTCCATTGAGTAAAATGCTTATTGAGGTTTTTCATACTAATTGTTAGTCCATTATTTACATACTGATCATGACATGGAACACACGGCGAGTGCAATCGGCAATCCTCGGCTGACTCCGCTACGCTTGATTCAAACCTCGGATGTGTGATTAGTGGAGGAATACGCAACAGATCCTTACATTTCTCCGCCGGAAACTGCCTTATCACTCATTTCATATTTCGCTCTGCATAACGTTCTTCGAAAATGTTTCTTAATTTGTGCAATTCTTTATCGTAAACAGGTTTTTATTACAACCTCATGTTAAGAGCTAGTCCGCGAGAAAACCATGCAGAACTGTCCAAATCGAAGGTTGTCATATCTTAATGAAATTTGGTGGGTAGTTAGACTTTATAATATGTTATTAAAAAATGACCAAAAAAATTCCCATCATTCAACATGGCAGCCGTAGGCAGTGCCACCTCCTTTTTGCACATTTAAGTGCAAATGCACTTAAAAAATTCAAGAAAAATGGTAAAATTCACATTTGATTTATTTTACTCAAAATTAAACTTGCATTTCCATTAAGGTATTTTGAATAACATAAGACTATGTTCTTTCAAAATTCACATTTATCATAATCAAATATGCAATGTATCAAAGGGCAGACAACTCTTGAAAATTGGCATGATGCCAATTTTCAAGAATTGCCAAAAGTATTACAAATTTAATGCCCCAAATTTTCCAAGACCAATCTTTGAAATTATTTTTTTATTTTATTGTTCAATTATAACTCTAAACATTATCTTTGCAAAATATTTAGCTTGGGAAATAATAAATGACTGAGATATGGGGATTTACAAATTTCCAAACTTCGAAAAAATTGCTCAAACTCAAGTGGGTTACAAAGTCAGATATAGTACTTTATATTATAAATAATTGTTGTTAGATGTTGAAACATGTAAACATTTTCTTTGAAATAATAATTAAGAGTGAAAAATATTAAAATTAAAAATTAAATAAAACTAAATTGTCAGAAATTACCCCTAATATGAGGATTAGCATTTTGCCAATTGTTTAGAATGAAAAAAAAACATAATAAATTGTATTGGCTTACTTGCAATTTTTCAACAATCATATGAATATATATGTTCCTTACATTTTGTAAGTTAGTTTCTTTATAATAAATAAAAGGGAAATTACAAGTATTTAAATTCAAACGGACTCAGTATCATTCATATAAAATTAGAGATTTGAACATATAAAATTTGAGCCTTCAGTAAGTTGTTTGCTAGCTGCAGAACTGTAGCTCTCCGAAAAAATATATATTGATAGACCGCAGGGCTACAGTGCCACCTGTATTTTTATTGCGCATAAAAAATGCGCATGGTTCTAGATTAATTCTTCCAAATTCTTACCTCAATTGCAAAAACGGCTAGATTTCAATAAAGTCCTTACTCCTTTATCAATTAACGGCATGGTTTACATCACAGGTGCTGGAGGACAGGACCCCCCCCCCCCCCAATACAATGTGATATAATCTATCCTATCAATTTAGAAAAGAATGGGTGGACTTAACTAGCCAGAAAAAATGCTGCAAATTTAAGTTCCATAAAATGTTAATTTTTTTCCATCATATAAACCCACGATATCTTAACTGGTATTTATGGTACGGATGTGAATTTAAAATGCTCTTTTCGAGGTAAACTAAATAAATATCGAAGGCATTGTGCCTGGAGATTTGTTGAATATCAATAGATAATCAGGGTCACGTATTTTTCATCGTCTGAATACATAGTCAGCGCATGTTTGTCGGCTGTTCTTACGAAAACTGTAGTTGTATATTGAACAAAATAATGTCATATTTGAAGGAGAAGAGCCGATAAATGTGCGCTCACACTTAATTTAACAAAAAACATGTTCTAAACAAACTTCTCGCTTCCATTGTTATTACTTCGATTGACCTGTTAAATATTACAATTCATCACGTGATGTCCACCTACGAGTGAACTCGATCGTGGAAAATCTTCAACCTGACCTAGATGTAAATCATTATGTTTGGTGCCGTTTTCAGAAATTAGCACATTAAATGTTGTTTTCATTTTGCGTGTCCTCACATTTTAAAAAAAAAAAATCATAATGACATCGCTGTAATATTTCAAACACGTATTCGAATTTCTAGAGAGAGAGATGGAGAGAGAGAGAAATGTCAACAATGACACCGATCGATAGCCCCGCCTCCTATTAATATTGATAGCGCGACCTAAAAACCACTCCGGGTACATGTCAAATTCCGGAAGACGACACTAATGTATCGTTGTTTCAATTTTGATTCATGGCAATAAGGCATTGCTTTTGTACATATGTTCTAGCTAAAATAACCATGTATACGTCGCTCTTTCTAGTGGTTGTAAAATATTTTGGATTCACTTTATTTTCAACTTGTTAGAGTAATCTCAAAAAGATCCAAAATAGGGCGTTAAGTCCACCCATTCAAAGGTTTAAAGTTACATTTTATAAAAATATCTACCCTCTCTATATGATTTTTATATAGAGAATGTAGGGTAGATTTAATAGAACGTTTGTTTTAGGTAATTTTTCGATTTGCTGGTATAGATCTTATCATAAATACGGCAATGAAAGATATTTTATGAGAAAAAATTCGAAAAAGCCTAGGGGTCTATATCGAAGGGGGGTGGGGGGGGGGTCCTGTCCTCACCTGTGGTTTACATCTGTACGAAGCGCGTTAGACCGAAATATCTTCTCAATTCCAGGTCCAGGAGGGCTATTAGAAACAATTATAAGGAATGTTTTGTTGTGGAAACGGTGAAAGAATATGTTAGGAACACACAGTTGGTAAAATTTTGAGATGACAGTATTAAGAACACGGAGAAATAAATCGAGAAACGGCGCATTTTTTTTTGTGCGCAATAAATATACAGTTTTTTCAATGGGTGGCACTGTAGCTCTCCGGTCTATCAATATGATTTTTTTTTCGGAGAGCTACAGTTCTGCAGCTAGTTGTTTGCTTTCTGTCAATTTTAAATTGGTACAATCATTGTAAAAATACTGACAGGGGATATTATACAAAAAGCTCCATAAAGGAGGTTAAGAAAATGAAAGATGCTGGAGTTTACTCTTATCCCACCTCCCGAATCAAACAATTGTCTTCTTTTTTCGCTTGGCAAATTCTTTTCAGGTAAGTTTAATTTTAACCCCCCCCCCCCGGGACCCTTTCAAAATCGTTTCTACGTCACTGCTTTGACTGCAATTTTTGTGAATAAGAGATTTTATGAACATGAATAAATCAACTTTATTTAGATAATGGGGGATTGAATTTCTAAGATATATATTGTTTATAAATTTGTTTTAATGTGATTTAATCTGAAATATTTCCGTTCCGTTTTTCTTTCCTCGTTTTAGCAATTAGAACCCTTTTCATTTTTCATTATTTTATCCATTTCAATATTAGTATGTAAATTGTGGAGAGGTGGATGGGGTTAAACGATTGGGTACTAGATATACTCGTATATTTAATATCCTGACCTTGATTGACTGACACGCCCCTCCCCCAACTGTTTTCAGTGGATACATGTAACATTAAAAAAAAAAAACAATTTATCTCTGTCTGCAATGGTACATGTATTAATAACACCATTATGGTTATTCAGAAAAAGTATCAAATATTAATTTACACAGTCTTAAACAATTTTATTAATAATGTTTTGAAAATAATTTTGGCGAAATTTGATAGCCCCCCCCCCTCCCCCCAATTTGAATAAATATGAATCCAGTTGTAACGTGAAGCGGTCACCCATCCAAGGGTTAAACTGGCTCGCCGTTGCTTAACTTGAGTCCTAGTCTTAGAGCTTTCTAAGCAGATTGGAACCTGACTTCAGATACGGCAACCTCTGCCGTCCACAGACACGAAGTCTGTGTATGGACACTAAGTCCTAGCTCTAAGACTTCCTGAAGCAGGACACCAGTCACTACGCTGCCACCAACTTTGTAACGTGAAGAAGCGGTCACCCATCCAAGGGTTAAACAGGCTCGCCGTTGCTCAACTTGCCCGGAGGGAGACTCTACCGCATCACCAGAAAAGCTAGCTCACTGGCGAGGCAGTACAAGTTCCCTATACATGTATACTGTCCGCTACACAGTCTTTTATCATGTATATAGTCAGTATTAAATTTTTACCACTTTGTACTGCAAACTAGCAAAGTTTTGGCTGCAGTAACAACTCATACTTTCTTTGGGGGGGGGGGAATAGTACCCTCCCCCGAATAATTTTGCCAATATTTATCGTGGAGGGTCCTATATCGATGGGGTACCTAAATTGGTGGCATCTCCTTTTGAGCTGATGATTTTTAATGTGAGGTCTGACTTTATCAATATATGAATGTTACGTAACACAGTAGTTTAAAGTATGTAATGTAAAATTAAAAATATTCCTAGGAATGACAGTGTTTGGTTAACTCAAAAACTTACTAATTAAATTAATGAAACCTAAACAATTTACATGTAGATTAAAATTACAAATTATTTTTGAATTTGTTGAGAGTATGCAATCAAATACCTGTTTGTTTTCTTATATTTTCTCAAATGATGGAAGAAGAAGAAGAAGAAGAAGTTGCTAAGACACTTAGAAAACTGAGTGCGTTTATATTGAAAATATATGATTTTAGTTAGTCATTCCTCCATGATTTTTCTATCCCTCACTTATTTCATTATTACATGTTTCATATGTGTTTTTCTTTTCCTTTTCATTTCTGATTATGTATATCATATACTTGTCCTCTGACCTGAATGTATATGTTGCAAATATTCTTCATTGTCCTCATGTACCTGAAATGGTTTGAGTGAATAAAATGATCTTGAACTTGAACGGGGCCAGGTGCCTTAAACAAAATATCAAATGTATACTTTGATGAAAAAAAATATGTTATTATTTGATTTAATTTCCTATTCAATTGTACTT